TTAATAGTATTTTAAGTGAAATGAAATGAGAAAGAGATACAAAATCTACATAAATTAAAACAAATAAAAAATGATTTTTCTAGTCGAAATTTCCAACAGTAGCGGTCGATGGTGGATAAATAAATTATCGAGGAAGACGCCTGTCGGTAAATTACAGCGCATAAACGGTTCACGAAGTTATCATTAAGCGATCCGGAAACACACAGATACAGGAACATTCAATTGTCAACCGCATTGCGAATTTACTCAGGTGTCAGGACCAAGATGTCGTATCGAGCCGGGTATTGAATGGGTCAAATTACCGATGCGAGTGAGCGTACACTGCGGCATATCTATGCTATGCTACATCCCTCGAAATTAATGGTTCCTCATATTTTTAAACTGAATTTAAAAGCAAAAGTCTCTATTTTCTCGTGACTAGATATTAAAGAGAAAGAAACTTTTTTAATCACAGTTCTTCTGAACAGGTAATCATGGTGTAGCATTAATTCAATAACGAGAAATGATTGATCGTAAACAAGCAACAATTTAATCCATTCCCTGTCAGGCAAATTTAGAGCGATATGCTTTGGAGGCCAAGATTTAATACGAATGTGTGATCTAAGTTATTTATTTGATAACAAATAGCAATGTTAAATTTGTCGTTCTTTTAAGTAAAGTAAATTAGATACACAAAACTTTCGTTCGTCCTTTCTAATAATTTTTTTTAATTAAATCTAAACTTGTAGCGTAAACTACGAGATATCTCGTAGCTGGCAGTGAATAAGTTAAATACGTATGTCGCGCCGTGATTAATTAGCGTACCTAAACGACCAGATAGCGTTCTCTCCGCTATAAAATAGGACCAGAAAACAATTTTTCATTTCAACACTGCGAAAGAAATTTTAAATGAAAAAAATATAAATAAGTACTTTTACCATTACTTAATGTTATGCCATTAGCTCTGTTCCAATATTTCGTCAAATTTCTATATGTAGTACATGTATGTAGATAAATTGTAGTGGTCATCAGGTTGAGACTCGGGTTACCAAATCGAGAACTTAGAAAATTGGTATTTTAACGTAACAAATGACGAGTAAACTTAAACTACAGTTACAGAAAAATAATAAATAATAGAACATAAAGACCCAGAATTAATTTCTACGCCTAATATTTTATTTTGCTTCCAAACAGAACACCCTCTCGAATAATGCTAATATTCCAAGGCCCGGTCGATAGATTTTTATAAAGAAGCAAATTTAGACTTTTACAAGAGTTTCTCGAAGTGCACTTTCCGGAGCCATAAAACGAACCACTTTATCGACGATCAACGATCAAATCGTACTCACTCGCGCGTTCAAAGCGTCGCTTAAAATCGTCACGAATTACTTGGAGCCCTCGATCCCGGCGAGAAACTTTTCCCGCGCAACGAGGTGCTTTTCCCCTGGGATATAAAGGCCGTTCGATTTAGGCTGCGATGCGCCATGGAAACGGAACGAGGAGAACTGCTTAATTAACTCGACTTATTCAAGCGAAAAACAGCTATTAACGGTTGCTCGCCTTTAAGTTAAAGAACGATCCTCAAGATGACATATTTCCGGCTAATCGACGCTGTCGTCGACTGATTCCTTTATCGTGCCACTTGACTTACATAAACAACTCGAGAGCTTACGCTTTTCCAATTATTTCTTCAAACATATACAATGGCGGATCATTATTTCCATTATACATATGTATTATATGATATCATATAATTCGTGTGACTTTTTTTTTATTTCTTTTAAGTTTGGAGTGCGTACTACTCTATTCCTGTTTGTTTCACACGTTAAGTGTGATATCGATGGCTATAATATACGTAAGTACACTGTCTGAACTCTATAACATTATTGCGCACATGTACTTCGCGAACAGTACATTTTCAATAACATGGTACTATTTTTAGGGGTGAAAATTTCACGAAATATTACTTTCATTTATCGTAACGCTAATATTTTCTTAATTTATCGTTCGTTTTAACGACTGCTGCTTAACGTTTGTGTACGATTTTATTAAAACATCGATCAATGGGAGTAGAATCGTATGAATGAATAATTTTAATTTCTAGTTAGAAGTCTGAAACATTTAAAAATATAGATGGTGCTATAGTTCTATACTGGCTCCATAGTGTATACGTACTAGTTCCCCTTTGTCGATTTACGATATACAACAGAGTAGCTACTACCGAAATTCACTAGGATTTGTAGGTGCACCTGCACGTTTCTAAACACGTCGACGTCGGCGGCCTTTAGTTCGCGACGAAGCTGTCGATTGGGACGCGTAGCGGATCGAACCAGGTCCCCGAGGCATTTAGATCGGAAAGGTTAATCAGCTAGAGTGGGTACGCTTTCAAGAAAACCGGGCAAAATAATTTCCGTTCGCGGTAAAACGCAGCTGCGTTGCGCCACGGAGCTTTTCATTAACGAGAAAGACGGTCCACGAACCAATAATGAATAGGTTTCAAGCGTTGTCTGACAAACAATACACCGAAACCATTGTTTCGCGTCGGCACAGACAGACGTTCATCGGATTGAACCGGGATTGTTACGTAACGGATGTGAACGAGCGACGTTTACGCGACTTGAAATTGGACCGATAAACTCCCAGCATTCGCCATTTTTGTTGATCGACGCACGTAGTCGATACGAACAAACCTTAGCGTTCTAATTGTTTTCTTATTGTTAGTTTCTTCTAGGCCAACTTTGTTTCAAGGTAGTCGTACCGTGGATGTATTTAATCGAGGATTCGAACAAAACTTCTCTCGATTAAACATAAGTCATACGGGCCCATTTCAATTTTAATCATAATTCAATGTAGAAACATGTTGAAAATTTGATACGTTATAAGAATCGATATTATAAATCCAATTTAATAGAATCTGAAACGGAACGTAAAGCAGGTGAGAGTGAAAACAGATGAATTCAGCGTGGATCTACTGAAATGAAATATCAAAATTGATGTGGACGGTAAACGGGTTGGGCGACGAACACACCTTCAACCGTCTCCGTTGTTGATCACCCGTCAATTGGTGTGGGTCCCACTTGTCCAATTGTCTCATCTCCCCTATTGTGGTTAGGTGTCGAGAAACTGTCATAGGAGCAACTGCTCTGTCCGCTGCAAGGCCTCGAGTTGTTGTTTGTAGGTTAGCTTCCTCTCAAACTTTTATCTAGTTGATCTTCGTTTGACTCGTTATTCACCAACGTGGTCAATTATTCGACTATCTACAGTATGTTATAAGTATCATATGGCGCGGCGTTTGTTTGGACTTTAAGACTTTTTCCACAATTTAAGGTGGTTGTCTCGAGACGAGCACGTTCAAAAATATAATTGGAAACTTTCGTAAAAGTACAGTCTTACTGCTGTCGCATACGTCCACAATAAATCAAGTTCCTAAATTGCATTCTCATTTAAATTGGAAAAATTCACGTGACAATCTATGTCCACTCCAATAAGAGTCTATCGTGGTTCAGATTTAATCAAAGAACATTCAAGTGAAGTTTCGTTAACATCCCCCATTAAATAAATTCATGAACAACTGGCTTAAATGTCATTATAAAAAACAGTCGATCGAGAAGCAGTGCTTATCCTCAAAGTAATTAAGGTAAGAGCGCTGAATTTGATAAACATCAAGTGCAATGCTTAATATCTCTTTAGGAGCGAACACTCGATGAACATTTGGTGCATATTTCGATTCAATAAAATTTATCATAAATTGAATTTAATTATAATTACACAATTGAATGAATGGTTAAAAATAAATGAACAATAAAGATTCATTAATAAACCCGATCAAATATCGAATGACGATGACTTATTTTTTCTCCTGTAATTCTGGAATATGTTCCGTTAAAAAAAAAATTTAACAAACCAATCACCTTTGGTATTTAAAATAAATGTTTTCTACAGTCTCGATTCTGTCACACGATACCAGAAACTGATGTTATAAAAACATCAAACAGAGGGGCGGTTCCAAACTTTTGGAAATATTGTTGTTGCAGGCATTTTATTCCACTTTTATTCCAGTTTTTCGTTAACAACGTGTTGGCTTTTATTTTATTTACATTGTTTAGGTCTCTTGCAAACTGGAGTCGGGTGCAACTGGCTCTTTCTGCTTTTATAAAAACACTTGTTAATGCAAATCTAGTAAACAAGTTCTGTTTCGAACAGCATTATCATAATTCCAACACTCTATGTTGTCTTTAAAATTTCACAAGCAATTGTTGATACGGTTGAATTATAAAAGTTAAACTATTGAGGTACACGCGAAACGAAAAGTGGTACAAACGGGTACGAACGATTCTAAAGAATAGGGAAAAAACAGTTTTCAAAAATCTCAATGTCGAGTGCTGACCATTTTTTGAAATTTTTAATTATTAATTGACGAAGGTACAAACGAAACCATTGGTGGTACAATCAAGTACAGACCAAATACTATCATTTTCTATAAAAAAAAAAATTAATTTTTGAAAAGTCGGGTGTCAGGTTCACACAGCTGATTACCAATCGGCAAAGTATTAATATAATTATACAACTTTGTCTCTAAAAAATTCGTGCACGAATTACTTCCTAATAAAACGAAAGAAACTTTTGGGGCAACCTAACATCACTGTACGCCATAAATGTATAAAATCTGCAATGTATTCCGACTCTGGATCATCTGAATAACAGAAGGTTCGGATAATCAAGGTCCTACTGTACCAGATTCAACGACCATTTCGGACGAAATTCCCGCGACACTTGGCCTGGTTCGAGCTCCGACCTCCGAGCTCCCCAGCATCGGCCTGTCTCGTCGTAAGAACGTGTCTAACCGGGAATTACATTTCTGATACTTTCGAAAAGTTCATCGTTAAACGAACTCCGCCACCAAACTTCCACCAAAGGCTCGTAAACTCGCGAAACTCGGACAGGTAAGTCCGAGGGTCGCTAGAACCTCGAGGATCATCATTCGCCGCTACCGAGCAATTGAAAAAAAAAAAATCACTCACCCTCGTTCTTGTTGTTCCCGATGAGTATTTCCGTATCTTTGAAATCCGCCTCCCTTAACAAATCCAGCGGTTCCTTGGGCAGGAATATCCCGTCGATGGTAGGCGCGGATGGAAAGCCAAGAATTCCGGAGTAGCTGTTCCACTGTTGCACAGAGATGGATTTAGCGTCGACGGACCTCATGCAGGCCATCACTCTGGCTGGATTCTCCTGCAGCATGCTCGAGTTGCATCCGCAATCGTCGACCAACGACTTGGCCACTTCGTTTGCCCTTTCTCCGGTCATGTAACTCCAGGGTGCGTTCAAAGTCCCGCTCTGGAGGATCCCACGACGCACCAATCCGCGAGTGACGGGCGAGATCAGGTGAAGGGACACGGAGCTGCCACCGGCGGACTCTCCGAAGATGGTGATGCGATCCGGATCTCCTCCGAACGCCTTAGCGTTGTCTCGTAGCCACCTGAGGGCCAGAGCCTGGTCCCAGAGTCCCATGTTCCCAGGAGCCTCCTCGCTGTTGGCGAAATGCTTGTTCAGATAGAGAAACCCAAACGCTCCAACCCTGTACTGCATGGAGGCGATTATGACATTGCTATTAGCTGCCATGATGTCCGAGTCGTAGACGTCCAGAGTGGCGGTGCCGCTCATGAATCCTCCGCCGTATATCCAAACCAGCAACGGCACACCGTTCCTGTCGCCGTTGTTGGGTGGCTCGGAGCCCTTGTGTCGCAAACGTAGCTTCTGCGGCACCCAGATGTTCAAGTAGAGGCAGTCCTCGGAGATGTTGGTGTTGGGGTTCCACATCTCTTCGCCCGGGAACCCGGGGAAGTACTCGTACCTCTCCTGGTAGCAGCTGTTTGGTAAAACGGTGGCGTTCAGCACACCATGCCAGGGTTCTATAGGAAGAGGCTTCCTGAATCGAAGAGGTCCTATCGGAGGCTTGGCGAACGGAATCCCATAGAAGATGTGAACCTCTCTGTCCACCACCATGCGCGAGAATCCGCGAACCAGGCCACTGGTGGTCTCGACCACCAGAGGATCGTTGTGCACGTTGGTCCTCTGTGCCGCGACGTCGGCTCTGGCCGACCCTGACCCGTGGAGGATCAAAAGAAGCAAAACCGAGAGCCTGTTCGTCATTGTTCCGGGATTTACCGGGGCACACACCTGCCCGAGAGAGACTCAACAAGTTAGCGAGTGGGGGACTGGCCGTGAAGCCGGCTTTTGCGCGGAATCCTCTCTGTTGGCCGCCACTCTCTAACCACGCCGTCTCCCCGTGTATCTACGTCTTCTAATTCACCGTGACCTTTCGAGGCACACGCACCAACTCGCGCACGCACGCGCGTTGAATCACCGAGTCTTCACGTTTTTATCCTTCGGTCGTTTCGGGGCCTGGTAACTGGCCAGGGGTTGGACCCCGCTACGGAGTTGTCGCGATTTCGTATTTCAACGCTAGGAGAACGTATGTATCAGGATCGGTGGAACGATCGGATCGTCGCGGAACCACAGGGGAAAGAAACGAGATATCGCACACGCAAGCAGACGCAGGGTGAGTTTTCGCGCGGCGGCCGACGAGCCGCGTTGCACGGGGTCGACTGATCGAGGTGGTAGAGGTGGCTCGAAGTAGAGGTGCGCCGATGGCTCGCGATGCTGGTGCTGGTGGCGGTGGGTGGCTGGTAGTGGTGGTAGTGCTGGATGTGACGGTGGAGAGACCAGAGTGTTTGCGGCGCACGCCTCGCGCCCCTATCTAGCGATAGCCATTCGATTCGCTTTGTTGCGAGTTTTCGAGTAATTTCGACTTGGACGAACTCGGGGCTCGCGATGAACCTCGCTCTAGAGTCCTAACGATCATGCACTGGACGAAAGGAGGACGTTCGAAAATGACGAAATTTGGCCAGGGGTTGGACAAGTGCCAAAAATAACTGTTTCAAGAGAACTGTCGTACAGGGTGTCCCAGCCTAAATGATACGGAGCTCTAACTCCAAAACTGCAAAATTACAAATATGGAATGCAAAATTTCAAATATGGAAATTGCGTGGTAAAATGGGGATCGTGTTTCAGCGAGATGGAATTTTTGTTAACATTGTTATTTAACGAGATATGATGGTCAAGTTTCGTTTTTTAAACGGAACTATGTATTATTATTATTATTATTATTATTATTATTTTTTTTTTTTTTTTTTTTTTTTTTAAGACCATGCGATAGCACTTTTCAAGACGAATTCATTAAGCTTTACCTGATAAAATTCTACGAAAACACCAAATTCCCCTTGCGATTATGTCATTCAGGGTCCCCGTTCGATGTTCGATACTTCGCCCGAGTCGAATCTAAGCCGCGCAGCATGCAAAGACATCCGGAATGCGTGATGTTATTAGTGGGAAGACCGGTCGAGACGCAAACTGCATACCTAACGTCACATTCGCGATTGCAATTGCGATCTACTCTCGATAGATGCATCTCGACTCCCTGGACCAGATGATAAGTTTCCTTTTCCTTCTTGCGAATACCCTCGAGAATCCTGGAAAAAAAAGCGACCGTATAACCGACCACGTTTCTCACGTATTCCACACTTCCGCCTTACTTCCCTATAACGAATCGTCCCTCATTCGTGACTCTGCTGGGGATCGTGTAAGTATTGCGTTAAGGTGGACCTGGTTCTTTAATTTTTTCTTAAACACCACCCTAAAGAATGACCAGTAATTGCGGATTTTATTAATAGATGGCTGTAGCCAAATTTCTAGATGTATACGTGCATGAAAAGTGTACCACTTAACTCTCGCATCTTAAGGAGTACTCTTTTCTTTTTACCAGTTTCGAAACAATTTTTATGTTATTTTTGTAGCTAGAGCTCTTGACATTCATGTATACGTCTCCATGCAAGATTTTCGGAAATTGTCAATTGTCACAATTTTGTTTACAAGTCACGTGTAATACTATACATCGGGTCGATTTAGTAAATTTTTTTTTACCAATTTTGAGACAATTTTCATCATATCTGTGCAGCTAAAGTACTTGACATAAACTTTTGAAACTTGATACGTTAAAACATGTGTGTTTTATTTAGCTATACAGGGTGTCCCAGAATTAGTGTAAGAAACGGAAACGGGAGGTAGGCGATTTTGAACTACAAGTTCCTTTGCAAAAATGTCGGATGGTGCTTCGTTTTTAAATTAGGACGCTCGGGGTCAGCCTCTCGCAGCTGAACGCGCGCTACTCGGGCGCTGCGATTGGTCGGTGGTTTCTCGTTAATAATTCAAAAACGAAGTACAATCCGACATTTTTTCAAAGGAAATTGTGGTTCAGAATTGCCTCACCTAGCCCCTCATTTCCGGCTCTTACACTAATTCTGGGACACACTGTATATTCAGCACACTTGTTTCTACCGACCCATTTCTCAATTGACTCCAGTCTTTCCTACTCGTCAATGAAACGATACTCTTCGAATCGAGAAGAAAAAGAGGAAGCTGACATATTCCTTGCGACTACGCCGCTGTTATCCATTCCCTTGTTTCCTATTCGCGGTCGGAACTCTTTTGTTCTAATCGCAGCGTCTCTAATGGGTTTCTTTAGAGAGGCCAGCGCGGGTTAATCCCATCGCCCCTGCCGGCAGATAGAAATAGAACCTATATAGCTAGTTCGTATCTCTGGTCCAGGGGATCGGGATCTGTTGTTTATTATGCCAGCCGCTCCTCTCTCCCTCTGGTCATGCTCTGTATTGGATCGCCGCGCCGCAATTCGAGCTCGCTTCTCGGATAATAACAGTATTGTCATTCTAACGTTTTATGGAAGGGAGCTTCATGCGACGTACGAGAGGCTTTTGAACCCATTGCCCCAGGAGACCCTGAAATGCTCGATCCTGCGTGCTCGAAAACAGTCAAATTCGTAGTGATTAGTGGACATTCGTTGGATAAACCGTTCAAATCTGACTTTTTCTTAAAGAAAAAATAATTATCTCGAGGTCATATTGTATTTCCCGAAATCTCGAAATAACTGGTGTTTCTCGAAGCGAAATGAGGTGATCTCGTTATACTAATCTTGTAGCTGATAGAATAACAAATTCATACATGTATAATAATATTGACGTTCAGATGATTGTATACGTTTAGAGTGCGATTTGTTAAGAATAACTTCTTGCAAGGTCGTCTGAAAGTCAACATATTATACACGTTTGAATTTGTCTTTTTATCAGCTACAAGATTACAATAATGAAAATACTCGTACCGTTAAAAAAAAAATACCAATGATCTTGAAATCTCATTAAAAAATAACCTTGAGAAAATATGGTACCATTGCATTACATACGCTCCTTCGAACAGAGTAACTTTGTCTGATAGATGTTTATCATAGATCCATAAATAACGAAGATATTCCTCCACCTTGTATATCTATTCTGTATTCTATGTATATCGACTTTCGCAAATTTTCTGATACATCGAATTGGAGTGCGCACTCGAAGCGAGTCGCCTTCGATCGTAATTCGTTGAATGACATCGATTAGATGGTCGATCGGACGACCATGGCTGTCCAATATTTTTACAGCGATTAATTGGCTATTCCATCTCTTTTCGATGGATCCAGAAGCAGAACATTCGATTACCTTAGCCGCCGAAGCCGTGTCAGGCCTGAACGATCTTCTCTGTTCAATTTTTTTATTTTCACCTTCTCGTGTCCAGTATCAACAGTACATTTCGCCACGCTCGTTTTCCCTCTCTAATCTAACCGAAGCATGGAAAGGAAAAATCCCCCGAACCGGGTAAAACTAGAAATAGTTTTCAGATTCACGTGAAATTTGATCTATAAGGGTTCCTTGCCACTCGAATTACGAATCTGACATCACAGGGATGGGGATCGAGGATTGAATATAAATTCTAAAAAAAATATATACCACGGGTTACCGTGAAAGATTATTAAATATTGTAAAGTATGTTTAAGGTGGTTTGGTCAAAAAATGATAACGGTTCAGATCATCTCGTAACGTTGAAAACTTGAAATTTACATCTTAAATTCGAAGATAGATCCGAAAAACAGTCGTTATATACATGTAACAACGATACATATTATAATATCGTTTGTATTGCAACGTTTATATGGAAATTTTACACGTAATTCTCTTTAGTTATGCTATTTTAGTTGGAGTTCCACTAGTAGCAAAATTATCACCGGGTACGCTTGTATTTACAATTTAATTACTCGACCACGGATGTTTATGCAAAATCGTATTTTTACAGATACAGAAAAAAGAATCGAAACATAAATGTATGTCTTATCTTCTAAACGCTACAACATATACATTCTTGTTGATATTTTAGATATTTTTGTATTTGTGAACGTTACACATCGTTCGCCATAAATGCATAAACATCCACAGTCTATCTATCCTGCTCGAAGATATATTTTAAATGGAACGCGGCTGTCATCGATGACCACCATAGCGTATTATCGTCATCCTCGTGGAGGAGAGTCGAGGAGAGACTCGCAGGCAGCGCGACAGGTGCGAGATACGTCGAGAAGGATCGCTTCAGGGCTGTTTTAGTCGAGAGCAGACCTATAGCGATTCCAAGCCCGGCTGGATTCGTAAGAAATCGATACGCGGTGAACCTGCCACCTGCTGGCAAACTCCCACCGACCTAGCGCAGGTTACGCTTCAGCTTCTTTCCAGGACTGATCAGGACCGACAGGACGGGGACGCCAGTTCCCGGTGAACTGGAACAGGATCTAGACCTTCCCCCGGACCGTCAACTCACAGTTGAGATATTCGAAACTGTTGACATAATTTCATTTCTTCCGTTCGCATATTTTATTAACATTTATCGAATTAATAGGACGACCTAGGACGATCAAAAAAAATATCATTGGTTATAAAAGAAGAAGTTAAGAAACTACAATTTCACACGATAGTTTTTCGGGAAATTGATCGGTGTACGAATACGTTCTACACCCACTGCATCAGTTTTTTGGGGCCAAAGGAAAAATTTGTTTCGATCTATGAAACATAAACCTTCTGACTCGCCATTTTAAGACACCGAAGAAACTTCATTGATCACCTCAAAAAAACGTGATCAAAAGTCTTGGAAAGTACATTTCTAAAATGAGCAAACAATGTAGCGTAGATGGTTTAAATCTCCATAGCCCTAGCGTTAAAAAATAGCTATACCAATATTTTGTTTATTTATTGAACACAAATAAAGACCATTTGAAAAGGGTTCGAACCAGATTTTCCACTCCTGGGGACGATGGAGTCTTGTCCAGTTCGACTAGCATTCGTCTGAAAGCCTAATTAATTAGCGACAGGCGTCTCGTTATTGTTAAGTAAGCGCGCACGAGTCGTAAGCGAGCGAAACTTTTAAGCAATTTCCACGCTGAAAGTTGCCCAATTATTTCGAGGCGGTTTGATACGTTTCGTGGGAGAGAAGTCTGATTTATTCGCAAGTGCAGGGCAAATGCTTCGTGTTTTGGTCGACTATTTAGTAAGAAGTTTCCAAGTAACCGTACGTAACCGCCCAGCCGGAGCGGAGGTACAGCTCGCGGTCGCTACGTTGCAATTACGAGCGTCTTGTGTTCGTCGCGCGAACCACAAACATGATCGCTCTGCTAACTGAGATAAAACTTATCCCGAGAGACACGATACGAAGGTAACGCGAATTAAGGGGTTAAATCACTTTGGTCGTTTAAAAAAACTCGAATCTTGTTCGATAATGATATGTATGCCGTTAATTAGAAATCGATATCGAAAGTGTAAGGACAGTTTGGAACTCTAGTTAGTCTAGTAGTCGCTTGTTCTTGGTCTTTTCTGAAAATTACTTGCCATTTTGATTTAAAATCGTGCAATAACTTACGTATCTTTTGCTTAATATTTTGCGGTAACGTGTAAATACATTGCAACTTTTGCGACACGAAGAATTCAATTTTCTCATACGAAACTGTTACGCTATCGTTTAAATGATTTCTTAACAGCAGAAACGTTTATTTTCTCGTCAAGCCAATAGTTTTAAAATCCCTTGGCTACATATGCTTGCACAGGATTATAATGGTAATCAGATTGAGAACTTGGAAGGTTTATAATTTATCGTAACAAAAGTGCGCTTATAATCTGCAAGGAAAACAACAATAAGTGATATTTTTTAGCTACACAACTTCGTGCACGGGATACATCGTAATGGCCATCGGGTTGACGAAACGATCGAATATAAATTCACAGAATTAATTTCTACACTTAATAATTCAAAATCCAAATTTAAATGCATCAACAAGTTCTAACTCGATCCCGGTCACGTCGTTCATCGATGTTGTCGAGTTAGATTAACTGTCGAGTCGGGTAATAAAGTTACCCAACTGGTAGTTCGTTTACTTCCTTGTGTCGGTTACGCGCGGCAGTTGTCTTTTCTTTCCTTTAAATTCTGAATCCTGTTCGTCGTGCTCTCGGTGTATTTAGAAAACTAGCGACGTTTCTTTTGTTGTCTGAAAATGTCCAGGGTGAATCCTTTCACGTAACGACGCGACGCGACGTCTTAAACGAAGACGTAACGAAACGCGCGCGCTTGATCGGCGGGTCACGTTGGGCCGCAATGATCGTGGACCAAGAGACTAACGATTGGTCGGTTCGGTCGAGGGGACAACGAGTCACTTCCGCTGGCAATTGCGCGACAGTCCATTTGTAAGTAACTCCGATGATTACGAGCAAAAGCGGCCCGCATCTTGTTACAGGATGCAATTCACGGCACATCGGCTCGTTTCGATCGTATAAATCGTCGACTCGATTTTACAGGGAAACCTGTCCCACGTGCACGACCGCCACCGATCATCGAAACGAATCTGGACCACGGGACCTGCCTGTAGTTGGACGGAATTAAAGTTCAAGGACGAACGCTAGCCTCGGCCCCAGCCGGGATTCCCATGTCGACGCGGCTCTCGTTCGTTCCTAGCCTGTCACCGATGTAATTGAAACAAGCCATCGGCCATTCCTGCCCTAGTCTGTACATAGAAAACTCTGGCGAACCTCTAGGTAGCGATCGGACTAACCGACCGCCATTCAGGGTAAAAGCGGAAGTAACTATTTCGGCGTCGAAATTTAAACGAGTTCGAATGTAAATCGGTATATCTCGTATTTATACCTTTACTTCAATACCACGTACCGAGGTTTCAGTGTTTTTAAATAGTTTTTCATGAAAACCAATTATACTATGATATTCGAGGTGGCAAAAACCAATGGACACCAATTATATTTCAATATAGGAAGAATTAACGTTACTACAGCAAAAAATCGATTTTTATAACGTATCGAAAATATACGAACACTTGTTAAAACAAGAATTTTATTAAATTTCATATCAACTTCATTTTATTGCTTGAATCTTGAGATCAATCTGATCTCCGTTGTGATGAATCTATACTCGCAACCCAAGTCTCAACCTGATGATCATTACTGCCAAGCTGCCATTTTTGTAAAAATGAAAGAAATAAAATAAAAAGCGATTTTCTAGGTGAATACTTACACAATACGTTAATGTACTTCAATGCAAATCAAATCTTGTTGTTATCGCTCCAATAAAAATTCTTGAAAAAGTCTGAAAATTCGAATAGGCAAAGTCTACTATGTCAGTTGTAAATGTATTATATGTAACAGGTGTATAGCCAATTGCGAGCTACGCACCGTTAACAAATAAATGAACAATACTTGTAATTTTGTCCAGCAGTGTAGATATTCATACCTGGCGACTATCGATTCGACGAATCCGCTAATTAGGCCCGTTTAGAATCGAACCATCTGAATCCCTTTGGGCGTAACAATGAAAGGGTTGGCAGGCATATCGTAGTCCTCTCGTTCGATGTAGCTCGGGGTGCAATTGATCCTGACGGTTTCGCGAGAAAGCCAATTCGCATTGGCCAGGATTCATTTTCCGTTTCTTTAGCGAACTCCCGGCGAGCTCTTTGTGCCTTTGCCTATTTACTCTGTCCCAGTTTCCGCGGACTCGGTCCTGCGTAGGCTTGATCCTAATTGCGCCTCGAGGAGTCTTCCTGCTTTCTCGCGACGTCGGCGTCGAAGGTCGTACTCGTTAACGACGCCATGATACTTCCGCGGTTTCTTCAATTACAAACGCGTTGCAAATTTTTAACTCCGGTGTGACGTCGAGAACACGACCGTCATAGCGCATCATCTGTTAAAGAAGCATAATATTTTTTGAATTGCGCGCCTTATTATATTACAGATTAGTGTCACCTAATGAAAGAATACGTAATACTTTCTGTTCCTGTTTAGTTTTTCTTGTGTGTGCCACGTGCGATATATATAAAACTTATTTCTTTAATTTTCTCATACAGTGGGTGTAGAAAGTATTCGTACACCGAGCAATTACCAAAAAAACCATGTGAAATTGTAATTTATTAACTCTTTTTTAGAGTTAAGCAATAAACTGATGTGCTTATGTTACAAATTCTACTGTAAATTGTTCGTCATAAGAACCGTGCAACCGAGTTAATAAACTACAATTTCACACAAAAGTTTTTTGGGAAATTGATGAATGTACAAATACATTCTACACCCACTGTATATTCTTTTATAGTTACCACAATTCGAATCATCCTCGGAGTACCTCCCAGTAAGGAAGCAGTGTTCCTCGTAGGAAAAGGGTTGTAAACCGCAACGAGGAATATCGCTAGCTGGACTAATAAATGCCAACGCCGCGGGCTTTCGAGCGAGGCTCTATTATCAGGATTCTCCAATTATTGGAACTGACGCGTACTCAGGCGGATAACGGCTTCGCCGTGTGCTGGAAGTGTCGGTAAAAAAATACACCGACAATGGCGCCATCTAGCAGTGTAAAAAGGAACTATTGAGGACAAACTTGAGCGTTTTCCCGAGAGAGGCGCTGACCAAACTCCAAAAATTAGTTCGGCCTGTTCACCGCTAGATGGCTATTGATTTCAGCGAAAATGGAGGAAACTCACAAGAGACACTGTGATAGTTTAAAAGTTTTAAGAAGATACATCGTTCTTCTAATCATGTTTATAGGCCAATTCTTTACTTATCTAAGTGAACACCAATTTCGGTGTGATACGGATGGTAATTATAGAGAACAGGTACATCCTCTCCGATTTCGATGATTTTTCTAATTCGGAACAGATTGAAACACGAGCCGACCAGCGAATGATAGCTAACGCATACAGACTCACAGTCGCGTATGTGTATTCCGAGCTTAAACAATCGACGACTGAACGCTTACACACACGCTGTCACAGACGCGTAGTTATACGCAATATTCATTGTGTAGCAGCAATGGTATTTTGCAAATATCTCGGAAACTAAGGCCGAGCGACGGTTATATGTATAGAAAAAAGTTGTTCAAAATGTTGATTTCTACAACATATTTAAAAATCATCGAAATCGGTGAGGATGTACCTGTTCTCTATAATTACCCGGGGTTCCGGTGAACGCGTTGAATCTGCCTTGCGCCAGGCCTGCCAACAAAGAACAAACGCAACAATCCAAACGGCAACGGTGCTATAGTAGTAAAAAAAAATGCAGATAGCGCGAACAGCTACACAAACGAAAACAAATATCAGACGGACGTGGTACCGTTCTTATGTACTTGTTTTGATAACAGAGGATTAGGGAGGAAAGAGGCGAGTTTCATGGTAAATCGGTTACAAAGTACAAATAGAAATTGAAATCAGAGATTTCCGAAACAGCTATGAAACTTTTACCTTTTATTTTCTGTATAAGATTTTTATTATGGTTTGGACATTATTTATGTGTTATAACTTGACTGCGGATTCTATGCATTTATGATATAAAATAATATAATGAATATATAGTAAACATAACCAAACGGTGTGTGCACTTATACAAAATAAAATAATAATATTATCATACTAATCGTAGATGGAACGATTCGGCTGGCATCCCTGCTACCAGTCGCGCATGCGTGTCGAAAAAAACTGAACGCGCAGTACTGTAGTTATAGTCAACAATACGTGGTCCCAATTTATTATAAATACTTTGCTGGCGCTAAAATCAGTACGCGACTAGGAGCAGAATCTTGTATCATCAGTAGTTGTAGTACCAGTTAGTGACCAGTTAGCCACCATATCCATTTTGTGATTATTGACATTAATTTCACAGAACGGTACAAGAGTGTATCGAAGAGAAGATTTGACACCGTCAATTAAATTGATAGGAACAAAAGATGCCGAAAAATAACACAAAAGGCAAAAATGCCTTCCATTTTTTTATGCTTGACTGGAAAAGGAAACAAGAAAAATGTGGCAAAGTATTTAAAAATGGTTTAAAAGATGTTGCAACGGATCCTCAGTGCAGTGAAGACTGGAAGGTTGGGATTACAATTTTTATGATTTTACTGGTTGGCAATAACTAGTTTAAAGCTCTAAACAATTTGATCTTGAGACTCCTGTATCCGAACTAATACGGAGACAAAAGCGGTCGGATAGAGGAATTTTCCTTGCTTGGCTCTTTAGATTGTTCTTTTATTCAGACTTAAGGTTTTCTTTAATATCTACTTTTGCAGCACGTTTCACTAATTTCTTTATTAAAATATAGAAACATTTATTGTTTTTCAGTGTTTTGTTATTTATTATAGAATCTAGCTCCACATCTAAAAGGTGAATACAAGGCTAAGGCAAAGGAGAGCAAGGTTTTACCTCAAAGAATATCGTCTAAGCAAACAACAATTGGAGAAAATATAGAAGAGATTTTACTAGAGCAAAAAAGGGAAGAACAGTTTCAACAAAATATGATTCAATACATAAATGCTATAATTGCTATTGGTACTCAACATAAGAGTAAGTAATACCTTATATTTTTATGTGAAAAATAATTCTTTATTGTAAGGAATGCATGTACATTTGTATAATGCGTGTGCATCTTTGGGTGTTTTTGGGAATTAGCGATGTCTTTGTTTATTATTTAATTATTATAATGTTCTCTTATGAAATGTTTACAGTATTGTTATTATTTGCAGACTTGGAGAAACTGAAGTTCATATTTATACATGTGAATAAGTTTTACAGAAGAGAAATAGGTATTAATAAGTTTGACTTCTGTCCTGCTGAATTTGCAATAGGAGAGTTTAGTTTAGAAGATGGTATGGCAAATATATACCATGAGATCATCAGTTCAAAGATTCCATTAGGATGGAAAAGGGATGCGCTTGAAACTAGTTCAGAAACACATAAAATACCTATAAATATGTCAGGTGGACAAAACGATTTTGCATATATGTACGAAAGAGTGGTTAACATTCTAAAATCCAACATGACTGGCATTAAGTTTCCTCCTCTATTTACAGTAAGGGATGTAGTTCCTGTTGTAAAATCATTACTAAGCAGAATGACTGAAGCCACCAGTAAGTATAGGGACTAATTATTAGGAATTTATATTACTAATTTCTTATTCCTTTTTTAAACACAGTAATATGTCGAGTATATAAAATTAAGGGAACAGAAAGTTAAAAGGTCAACGAATACTTGAAATATTTTTATTATGCAATTGTATTTTAGATACGAGTATGGACGACTTTGTCGTATACACATTAGAAACTCTGTTCGGAGAATTAAGAAATGCTGCTACGCAGCACGTCGATGATATTAGCATACCTCTAGTCGTAGCAGAAAATGAATTCAAAAAAGACGTATTTGCTTCTACACGTGGTCTCGAATGCGATGTAAGAACAGAAATATTAATTGTCGTTGATACATTCTTAGCAGAGTAAAAATTAATTCTCATTTCCCCTTATAGTACCACAAAAACATTGAAGACTCATCGCAATACTGCAGTATGTCCATCATAAAACGGTGGTGCTTCACAATATGTGATTATTGCTGCGAATATATGAATATACCAATGATCCAAGGTGTCCATTACCCTGTTTCGGAGAAATGTTCGAATTCCACTATTCTAGAATCTCTAGGAAATCTGACTATTAATGACAGTGTCAATGTGGTTTCTATGACTGGAGTAAGTAATAAAAAATATAAATACCGGTATATGATACTCTTAGAGACATCTACATGGCGGTTATTGCAAATTAAAATTTGTATTGTCAACAATTGCAAACAGGTTACAGAAGAACACAGGCTGAAAGTATCTGGACGAACTTATACAGAAGAGCAACGACGACGTAACCTAAGCCAACCAGTAAACATAATTGATCACAGTAAAACTTACTCGTTAAATAATTCAATTGTACGTGCTAATACTGTGCTCCTAGATGCGATTATCATACAACTCAAGTTCGCTTATCTTTCACATTTTCAGATTCCTGGACGACCATTGCGACCTCCTAAAACGACTGGTAAATATACGCGATATTAATATATTTTATCTGTTGCTAATGTAAAATGCAATTTTCATAAATATTTTATACTCTTTCAGCGCAAGCTATAATCAAAGTGGACGACACTAGTATCGAGAATAATTATACAATCAATATTTTGAAAGATATGGACTTTCCAGCTCTTGGTAAGTTATCCTTGTTATTTTATTAATCGGATAACTATAACTCACAATTTTTATTCATAAATTATTTCATAAATATTTATTTGTTTTTAATACAGGAGGAAGAGGAATAAGTTTAGCCAAAAATAAAATGCCTATTAAAGTTCCGTTGGGAAAAGGTAATGTACATTTTATCGACACTATCCTATCGCAAAAGATTTTATTTCCAATCGAGCAACGTACAACTATGTTAACAAACTACCATTTGTTATTACTTATTTCAACAAAAGAGTGTTAAATTGTAGATATGTATATGCCCTTTTTTTCTTAGATTGTTTTTTTAAGTAAATAATATATTAAAATTTTGCGATGAAATATCTGGATTTAATAATTTAATTCAATAAGTAATTGTGATTTTATATTTTTTTGTAGGACGTGGAAAATGCTAACCATATAAAAAGTATATGGTATCTACATGTTTTTACCATATTTGACTTCGTATATTATTATCTTTAAGAAATAAAGCAGTGTTGAGCAAAGTGTTTCATCAAGGTTTGATGAAAGAGAATGTTTTATTTCAAATGCAGTTTACTATAACTGCATAAAAAAATTAAGTATATCATCTATATACTTTTCTATATTTGTATCAATTTTATTGATCCAAGTAAAAATGTGAAATTTTATCTTAAATGCTTAAGAATACCGAATATTATTTCATGAAATTTTGTAACCACTATAATAAACATGTCTCATAGATGTATAAAATAATGAAATATAATACTTTGATAGATACATTTGTATTGAAAATCATTTTACCTTAACTGTAAGAAGTTCGTTAAATTTTCCCAAAATTGTCCGGAGTAGCTGACTCACTCTAGCAAAAATGTCGACTGCAAAGGATTATTCTCTAACATCAGAGACAGAAGTCTTTACACTCATCGGACGATCGAAAAAGTTTGAATTACAGGTTCTCTCCGAGACCGCTTCGAAAACTTCCAAATTGCAGCTATTAAAACTTCCCTCGGTGAAACCTTTTTCATCGCAGACATGAATGCGTAACAAGCATGTTTGGTAAAGGGTTACGCGCAATCTGAAAGATCAGTTCTCGACTTGTCGACACAGCGGAAACATTTTGAGAAAACACAAAACGTATCGAAACACCTGTAACTGTCGCGTCAGACTGACCATTTGTATTATAAAATTAGTGGTTCTCGGAGCGTACAATATTTCTAAAATTTCAAAGATATTTCTGGAATGTCACCAATATTGTATTAACCGAGTATTGTTTATGACGTCGAAGCGTCGTAATTGCGGTAATTGTGTAACGTACATTCGAGGGAAAAATGGACTTCGCGATGGGGTGGAATCGTTTCAACTTAACGTTGCTTGGCGTGTGGCCGGAGCCGAAGAAGATCTCGAATCTGTCGCGTCGAACATCCACACTTATATTTTGGTCAACGTGTTTTATAACATTTACATTCATCTGCGCGCCTCAGACAGCGAATTTAATACTGAAATCGACGAGCTTGGACGAGGTGATCGAGAACTTGTCAATTAACGTACCGATCGTTTTCGCTTTGATTAAACAAATCGTTCTGCGGTACCATAAAAAAGGTGATTATATACAATTTCCCAGTCATTTCGTAATTACATTTTAAATTTGACCAAACTTAGATACTTGACAAAGATATTCATGATTTTTACATTACTTACTATACATTAGACTAATGACTCATTTCATCTTACAATGATATCTCCTTTTTTATTCTTAAGTTTTAGTCTGAAACTCTGAAACTATTCCAATTGTAATTCTATTTAGAAGAATCTCAAATTGCTTTTCAAACGAATGTATATGTCTCTAGCTCTCACACTGTTACTTAGTCAAATATTTGATGATTGGTCCGAACGTCCAATTACGGACCAAGAGCGTGAAATGATGCTGAAGAACGCCAGAATAAGTCGAATAATATCAATTGTCTGCTCCACGCTGACATACATGATGCTCTTCGCATTTATATCGTTGCAAATTTGGAGTAACATGCAAAACGTATCAGAAGCTGACTTAGGAGGGCTGCTACATCCAGCAACGTTTCCCTATGATACCAAGAAGAGTCCAAACTTCGAGATAACCTGGCTAGGACAATTTATGGGCACAGTGTTAACTGCGATCTGCTACTCTTGTTTCGATACGTTTCTTGCAGTTCTTGTGTTGCATTTATGCGGCCAGTTAACCGTACTCAAAATGGCTCTGGAGAATTTGATTAACTTAAACAACCAGACCAACTTTATCAAGTTTCGAGAACGACTTGGCTTTATTGTGGATAGACACAATCAATTGTTCAGGTTTGTGCATTAATAATCATACAGATATTATAGATAAAGCAGGGGATACATAGGTTCACAGTAGTCCAGAGTCCAGGGATGCCAGAAATCTGCTCTTCTTTTGCGCATGCGCGAGTTGGAAGCAACTAGAAGCAACACTGGCACCACAGTCTGTAAGCTCTGACTCCAGTGTTGCTTCCAACTCGCGCATGGCGATTGGCCCTCTTGATGTGGTCCCCTTGTCAGAGATTTTTCAAGAGAGAAAAAGATACTTTATGAGAAAGAATGAAATACTTGATGTTAAGATTTAACGATTTTGAACTGTTTGAAGGTTCGCAGTGATCGTGGAAGACTGTTTCAACCTCACGCTACTTTTTCAAACGATAATCTGTACGGCGATGTTTTGTCTGACTGGATATCGCATGATAACTGTATGATTATGTTCAATGCGTTGATAACACTGTCCAACACGAAATTTGATCTGCAATATCCACTGGGGGGTCTGTCCCCTAGTATTGTCGATGGCGATAGACTTCACTAGAAAGAAAGGACCCAACAGCAAAACTCCTTGCAACCAACACAGGTCTCAAACACAAATCTAAAAGCCGAAAACATGAGGTTTTATAAAAATGATTGACTTTGAGCTACCATGAAATACTATTTGAGAACTATAAGCGCTAGAACGTTCTATTTAATCTTAAATGTATCGTTTGGGACTTTGAATGTCTGTGAACGACCACCGACGTTCAAATATTTCTCTATTTTTATGAAAAATTATATGTATAAACTCGGAAAAGATTAAATTTGTTGGACAGTGTAATTTTCCGAAAAACGATTTCCGCGATTAACAAGTGCTTTTCGCATGCGATTATTTGTTATAGTCTGTAGACCAGGAGGAAGAGGACGTACCGATAGTTGGATTAATTTTTTTTATTATTCACGTGATCTACACTATGTTGCATCTATTTATTTATTGTTATGTCGGCGAAACGCTTCTGGGTCAAGTGAGTCGATTAGCAATTGTATTTTATGTAAAATTGTTGAACCTACTTTGTCAGATTTTCAATACTGTTAACTCTACAGTTTTTTGAAAACTCTATGTACACTTTTGTTGAAGGTGATTTTAGTAATGAATATTTTATATCTAAAACTTATATTTAAAAATGTTTTGTTACGATTTTTCAAAAACAAAATCTTGACAGGTACATCAGTTATTTACTTATAGTAATGTTTATTCTTTTTTTGTAATACCTATAGTACTGTGCAAAAGTCTTAGTTCACCATGTGAAGCTTTTTAATAAAATAAATGTGATGTTTTCTTGTGGTTGTTGGACAGTACATTGTACAATAATGTTAGCCAATAGTATATTCCTATGTTCTGTACTCCAGTACATACATTGCTACATATAATACTCATTTGATATCTCTGGACCATTACACTTGATGCTGTAGGAACTTCACTCTCACTTTGGACATACTCGTATACCTCAGCTAGTGTTTTAATTTTCAGAGCACTGGAATTGGTCAGTCTGCATATGAATGTGATTGGTATGCTTTGCCACCGAATGAAGCAGTTTTATTAACTATTATTATACGTCGTGCCAGTGTTGCCTTTCGAATAACTGCTGGAAAATTTAGTCCTTTCTCCCTGGAGTTCTTTAATGCTGTGAGTTATATTACGACTAAATGCTTTCTTAGCATTAACCATGAACACAGTCATTTGACATAAAAATAAAAATACTTTTTTGTAATTATATAACATATTATTATTAAAGTAATATGAAATGTTTTTCAGATTTTAAAAACATCAGCTGGATATTTGTCTGTGTTACTAGCTATGAAGGATTGAATAGTCGATGAGTAATAGTATCAAATGTTGTCCTCATTTGCAGGAATAAAAATACAGATCATTGATCATTCATTTGATGAATCTACCCTTAACATTCTATATACATTTTTGTACTACAGTATACAATATCCAATAGAGTAATTGAATGTTCCAAATGTCACATGTAACAAACATGTGTTAAATTATTGATTGTAATAATCTATCAATATGTTTGCGAATTGTTTAATAAAGTCAGGCTGAGCTTCTGTCCAAGTTGCCAATGTACTGAATATGAAATCAGTTTCTTCCTCTATTTCAGTATGCTCAGAATTCATATTATCCTCTTCTGTTATCACGCGTTCTTCTTTCTCACATTCCGAAATCCAGTTCACCACATCATTGTACTGAATCGTGTCTTGAAATTCCTGTAAATCTTCTTGGATAAAAGTATTCGTATCTTCGCTTTCGTAGGTCTCGTCCACAGGCGGCCGACGCAAAAGTTTTCTCCACGACGTCTGAATATTCGTCGACGTTATTGCTTTCCACGCCTCGGCGATTAAATCTATACAGTCTTTAATGTCGTAATCGCCGTAAAACTGTTTAATACCGTTAGTGTGTTGCAAAACCCGACGTAGAAGTTTGTGTCGAAATATTTGTTTGCATTTAGCGGTTATTCCTTGGTCCATAGGCTGTATCAACGCGGTCGTGTTAGATGGTAGATAGAGTTGTTTGAATTGAGGATCTTCCCGCGCTTTTTCGGAAAGCGTGTGCCCTCTACAATTGTCCACCAACAACAACACTTTCCCTGCGCGACCCTGGTGTAGCTGGTGTTGCCTCACACTGGGTTTGAAGTGATTGGTGTACCAATCGTTAAAAAGCACTTCGTTAATGTAGCCATTCTGTTCAGTTTGGTACACCACTGGTAGACAATGCCTGCAGTGTTTCAGAGCTTTCGGAGTTGCGTACTTGTGAATGAAAAGGGGTGGCAGCTTGTGCGTGCCAGTGGCGTTAGCACAGAAAGCTACAGTAACGCGATTTTTCTTTATTTTTCTACCGCTTAAACATAGTTCTTCTCCTTGAAACAGTGCTTTTTGCGGAAGAGCCTTCCACATCAAGCACGTCTCATTCATATAATAAACATCTTCTTCGTCGATGTTCTCTTCGATTAGTACTTGTCTCAACTTCTCTTGAAATTTCTCTGCGGTTAATTCATTCGCATCAGCAGTCTCCCCGTAAACGCCCACGAGACGTATGTTGTGTCTGTTTTTGAAGCATTCGAGCCAGCCGTTGCTCGCTGCAAAATTCGAGCTTTCGCCGAATTCTGCGTGCAACTCCATCGCTTTCTCCTTCAGAAGACTATCGCTCAGGATGTCGCCTAACGCTCGCTTCTCCAAATACCACGTGTACAGCCGAGTATCAACGGTATCGTGCAGCAGCGGTCGTATTCTTTTCGAACGTAAACAGTTGGAATTCTCCAAATTCTGCCGTATCGATATCGCGTTTTGTCGATAACGCTGTATAGTCCTCTTGGCCAGACCATACTCGGCGACCAGCTGATCAACGGTGACGCCTGCTTCTAATTTCTGAACGATTTCCAGACGCTTTTCGTAGGTGACCTGTTGTAGCTTTCGTGCGGGAGTAGATGCCATCTTGGCGATTACTTGCGTGCACATATACGCGGATATGCTAAATAAGTATGTATTACTGCAATGATGTGCACGAAAGACGTGTCTATCGCTGAAAATCTCGAACGAGACTGAACTGAATAAGGGGCGCCGGCCCGGGTTCAGGTCATGCCTCTTAGACGGGGAGGAGAGTCTGAAATGCAATCGCTCTTATCTCCCCTCGGAACTCAAGGTTCGCTCGGTTGTGCTAGGTTGGGGAGGAGAGACAGTAAGCGCAAGCGAGAAGAGGAGAGTAGTGAATCGAGAGAGCGAGCGAGAAGCGGATATACTCAGGACAGTCTCTAGATTTTCTGGCGCCAATCCTTTGACTATACAGGGTGTCCCAGCATGGGTGGTATAACCGAGAAGGAGGTGATTCTACATGAAGAAACAAATCGAAAATAAAGAATAAAATTTGTTCATTTGAGGTTTCGTTCTCGAGAAAATCTGTTTTGAATATTCAGCGAGTACGCGTACACGTGACTATGTATGTTTATACATATGACACTTATAAGTAGTATTCATATACATGACACTTGTAAGTAGTACTCATATCATTAGTATCAAGATGATGTGCTGTATTACTCATTTCTGTCTACGGATTTAGAGTGAACAACAATTGTAAAATCATTCTAAAAATTGTTATTTATAACATTTTATACATATACTTTGTACCGTCCTTTAAATAATACAGTTTTTGTTAATTAACATTTAAATAAGCCTGTATTATTAATTTAATGATTGACATACAGATTTAGTCAAAATTAGATTTTTAATTATGTCACATGTAATAATCTTTTGAATTGCATTGCGACATTTTAATTCATTATTTTATTCATGAATATTGAATATTTTTTTAATAGGTATTTATTTTAACAGTGTCGATTCCATTGAGATATTATAGATGAAGTAGGGGAGCCAAACTTATGGCAGTGCCACAGCTAAAAAGAGAAAGAAAACCGCGTTACCCTGTCTGTCTTTGTCTACCAGCACATGTGCTTTTGAATTTCCTCCTTTACCGACTATAGATTGTACAGAAAACTGAAGTTACCATAAGAGCTGATATTTTTAAATTGTAAGCATTGAAGACATCTGCCGTATCGGCAGAAGAACATGTAGAGAACCCAAAGTTGCGAAAGAAACATTCGTAACATCGTGAAATGAAATAGCAAAAAACTGTCCAAGAGGATTTCAAATGTTTAAAGAAACAAAGTTCTCACAAAACTATACGAATAAATGAGGTATTGCAACGATTGATACAATTTAATTGGAATACTAAGAAAATCAAACTCTAATTTAATTTAATTTAATTAAAACCGAACTGAACTGAAGTTTTAAAAAATTGACAACTTTATTTGTTGTATGTTTATATCTGTGCATGATTCCTTTCAACATTTATCCTTCGCTTACCAGAAATATTCTTTAGCAGATTGATTCCAATTTCTCTTGGGATAAAAGACAATCAGTGGCGTAGGTAATTGCGTTATGTTCGTGATAGCTTGTAACGCAATTTTCTACCAATATCAGGCTACGTGTAGTGGCATGTGGTTGACGTCTTATAAAAGGTGAACCGTCTTCCGAAAACAGCAGATCAGTTTCATCCTTCGCTTGGAGAACACAGCTCACAGTTCCAGGTAACACTTATCGCTTCTGTAAAGAGAAATTTATTTTCTCGCCAATAGAGAAATTCTGTAAGTTCTTTCCTCGAATATTTCACGTTTCTTTTGAGCGACCAAAATTCTCTGTTATTTCTCTCCAAGAAAAAATTGTTAACTCGTCGCGACGATCTATTTCATAGCTTCTTTAAAGAACTCCTCGAGTTCTTGTTCCGGTACACGTGTTCTTAAACACCGCCATAAGACGAATTTGGATATATCGCGAGATCGATAGCCTCTTAGACGAGCTCCTTGATGAGTACTCTTGCAAATAATGTAGGTCATCTGGATTTGATGGGGACATTTGTCTCTGGCTCTTTCTTCGAGTATAAAAGCTCGAAGCTTTTGCCTTATTTGCAACATTCGTACGCTAACTACCGTACAAGTCTCAGCGCCTTCAGTTTCCGAGTAAACCTCTGTGGAATCTTTTATCGAGAATCGAACGATAGGTAGCAACATTGTTCTTTCTTTTCTGCGGCAAATTATTTGCTGGACAATTGTCTCGTTTTCAGTAGCCAAAAAAAAAACTCGAAATCCTCAAGATGATGTCCACACGTTTCGTCGTTGCTATCGTCGCTGCCCTCTTCGTCCTCGCCATCGCCGTGGACGCAGCCTACAAGAAACCACCGTTCAACGGCAGCATTTTCGGCAAACGATCCAACACCGTCACTGGTAAGTCTGAAAATTATTCTATCCTTCAATTTTACGAGAGTTTATAAGAGTTTTACAGAGTTTTACAGAGTAACTTGTATAAATAATAGTTTATATCGTACACAGGGATCTCAAGTTTAAACGAAAAAATATTTAAGATATTTGCATGCTCTTGTAATTATAATCAATTTGCCAGGATTTGAAGGATTTAAGACAAACTTTAAATGTTATACATTTTCAATGTTACATTTTTCTGTTTCGATAAAATCTAATGAGAAAGTTTCATAAATGTAATTACCCTCGGATCATTCACATTTGCTATAGCTGTTTTAAAAAATATATAATATTTATTGAAGAAAAAGATTAAAAAATACCTTAAACTACAATAAGCTAGTAGGTCTAGATATATTCTGTAACAAATACTTCGAAAATTGCTTTTACAATGTTTACACTTATTCTGTACATATAGAAAAAAAAAATAGAGATTTATGTCTATACCTATCAGATATTTTCTACATGGCGAAACAAATAAATAGTTTAGGATTCATTTATAACCAGTTCTAAAAATGTTTACAATGTTTTACAGATTACGACATTAGCAGCCGAGCCATGTCATCCATCTGTGAGACCGTCACCGAAACATGCAACGCCTGGCTGTCCCGCCAAGAATTCAACTGAAGATATCGAACCGACCATGAACCAGCTCGATGCGCTCCAAAAGCTGTTAATGTTGCTTAGCCACTTTATTAAAGTCTAATACCACGATCGATACGCAAATTCCTCATTCATGAATTTCTTCGACGCGTTTGGGTTCGTCGCATCGTCCATGTCACAAGTTCTTGCATAATCATGTAATATCAAGCTTCGATTAGTGTACACTACTCTGTAATATTTTCTCGTATAATAAACCATGACATTTTATTAAAATTAATCGACATCGATTCTTTCTTCTTTAACCAAATGCACACGATTCCTTTAAAATTCTTCCTCAACGTTCGAAAAAGTGAATTTGCAGTTCAGATTACAGTTAATTATAGTTTTGTATACTGTAATGGATATTTGGCTGGCAATGCTAATGTACATTACCGTTCAGTGTTGATACTAAAGGCATATTACGTGATAAAGAAAGTAAATTTGTATTTTATATTATAATAAATTGTAGTTTTGTATCAAATTTCATAAACCATAGACATATACATATAAACTGGTTCAAATCGACCGCTGATTGATAAATAGCGGGAAACAACGACGATGTTGATTCCGAGCCCTCTGGTGGTTGTTTGCATTAGTTTGTACTTTTTGAAAGAGGTTGCTACAAGGTTGCGCGCGTATAAGGTTAAAGTTACCGAATTCTCCTTAACTTCTTAAAAAAAATTGTTGCAAAAGGTGTGTTCTTTGGTTTCTTCGTTAATGTGCGCGGCAAATAAATGCGATCGTTCGAAACACCTCCTGACGTTTCGCAGGTTGGAGGTTATGTTTGTCATACGAAATTTAAACGTTTAATCGCATCGCTTTCAAACATTCTTTCGTCAAGACTCGAATACCAGTCATGGACACAGGAAATTCGACGTCCGGTGACAGCTCCTCGCAGTTGAATATAGAGACTACGCCCCGCGCTGAACGAGTAAGTTCTTTACTAAGTTATAGTGTTTCCAAATATTTCTCAATTTATCATATCTTCTGTTATTGTGTATCCATTATATGGTATTACATGTTTTCTTTTATTCTTAAGCGGGTTACTCGAGGTTCACGACAAAGAGCTGTGGACAGCGTGACAAAGAAGTTCCTTAGAAACTTTGATCCAGAGCATAGCGAAAGAGAGAAGCGCAAACTTCATCGACGATTGTATCAGGGTCACAAAAGGCACGCTTTGTACGACGAAAACGGTATTCACATAGAAACAGGGGATGATCTGTGCGACTGTTTGAATATAACCTGTGCTGGATGCCATTACCCTTGCGCCAAGTGTTCCTCTGCAAAGTGTGGCCACGAGTGCAGGTGTGACATAAGAGACAATTTTATGCTATGTGTAATTACTTATGAGAATTAAAAGCAAACATTTTCTTTTAGAATCAACCGTAAGTGGAGCTATGAATCAATCGAGAACGAAGGTTGCGATGTTGTTATAAAAAATCCACTGTTGAAAGACAGTTAATTTTGTATACAAAAAACAAAGTTAATAGACAAAAGTGAAGACTGCAAAGGTAAGAACATTTATAGAGACCAAGGCTGTCTTTCCATGAAAGAATTTATTAACATATTCAAATCAGGATTACGTAAATTATAATAGATATAAGGTGACAATTAGGATAGAAAGCATAATGTGCAACTATGGAAATGCAATAAAGTTATACATATGTCTCGTATCCTTTTTAATGTTGCCTCTTTGATAGCATTGGCTTTCCCTTGTTCCCATAATTTGGTGGTCTTAGACAAAGCGAACCTTCACGAGTACAGTATGTTTCCGTAGGGACACGATAGTTGAATCAGTGTTCCAATAGAACGTAAACGTAGAAGAACTCGAATAATCGAACGAAGCTCGCATAATCAGCTGACGAGGAGGTTCTGGAGAAGGCATACCGAAGAACAGGATTCAAAGCGATAGAGATGCGCCGCGTTTAGTGCACGTGCGTGTGCACCGTCACACGAAGACGATATTGATTTTCCCCGGCACTTTTGGCGTAGTGCGCACGTACCTAACGCGCATACACACACACAAACGTGCACACGTTCCACTGGAGTGGGGCGAGCCCCGGTGCGGAGGGCGTGCGCCTCGTTCCTCTTCGAAATCATCGTCAAAGTTCACGCAACCGAGTGCACGGAGAGGAGCGAGTATGGTGATCCTGTGGTCGGTGAAAATCGAGCGCAGCGTCCGTCGATCGATCCGCTAATTAACCGTCCTGGTCAACCTCGTTTGGCACGCCAGTGTCTCGAGCTACGTCTCTGGGAAGTGTACTATCGAAGAATCCTGTACCAGGTCAGGTGTTGTTCCTGACCGCCCGGCTCGAGGAAGCTCCTCTTTCCTCGCGGTGTCTTCTCGCGTTAAGGGTGTCAACTGTACGAGAAGACTTTTACCGAATCCGATAACCACGCAGAGTGCATCTGGTGTTTACTCGTTGCAAAAACCCCGTGGCGATACGCACCGGTAACATCTCCAAGAACAGCACACCTTTCACCCGGTTCAATTGGATTCCTTCGCCAAGAGGAGTACCCACCAGAGCGTCCTTAGCTCGACCAGGTTTAAAGAGACGCTTTATCGCTTGCAGACCCTCCGCGACACATCAACGCGGGTCAATCGCGATCTTATTGCCCCGATCACGAGTCTTGCATCGCGTTGACGTTTAACTGTGGTCGTGGTTTCGAATCTCTCATGCTTCGTTAGACTTTCCTCTGCCGGCTACCGCAGCTCTTCGTGCACCTTCAGTACCGATTAATCAGCTGCGATCAGCTATCGACTCGCGACCGAACGTACCAGTCGCTCAAGTTTGTGGACAGTACTATCGTTTGTTTTGGAACTTCCCCTCTTGTACCTCTTTTTCTTTTTAATACCGCGATGGACGTTGTTCGGTGTATGACAAGGAGTATTCAAGTATCACTTGTTGAATACATGCAAGTATAGACGCGTGATTATAAATCGCGAGAGGAGATGCGAAGCGTCAGGTATCGGGAGGCGTCGTTTTCTTCTTTCCAAAGTTCGAACCTTGTTTATCCATGCCAAACTTGGACAACAGGTTTTCGATTTCTTTTTATCTGTTTCGTAGACGCAAATCACGAGTCGATGGAATTACGAAAATTAAAAGTAAACACGTGGAGCAGCTCCGGCGATTCCTACACCGAGTTTCGAAGTTAAGCTGATGCCGACGCGTTGCAGGTGCGAAGTTTTGAATTGTTTTCAAAATTGTTTAAAATCGGGAATCACGGATTATACAAATCGGTTGAGTAGCGGTGGAACCGACTTACACGGAACATCGTTTTTATGCAAATTTAGAGTGGGTAATCAAAACAAATTTTTGGAGTAGAGACTTTGTCAATTTATCAAATTTATTCCATTGTCTGTATAGCGTGCTTGAAAACATATTAGCAGGATCTTTCAGGGACCAATAGAGGTCATTCATCTCTTATAAGTTCCTATATTCGTTTAGAGGATTCAATGAGATCAAAAAAACATTATTCTCTGTATAATAAATACGAAGGAGAAGCAGATGTCAGAGTCTAATAGAGTCTGCCACACGTGTGACACTGTTCATCGTTTGAATAGTCTTCAATTACAGATAGTTTATTAATATTCTGCTTTGCACACGGTTTTCGCGATACATACAATAATACAATTTAATTTAAACTTCTGTAACTCCTGTGATATGGGTATCGTTAGCGCAATGATCTGAATGATGAAACCCAAGGAAAGAATCGTTAGAGCCTTAGGCAATTGACATAGCTACTCCGTGGTAGGATTTGCAATTAATTATTGGTAGGAGTCAGGGAAGCATGTTGGTGTACGTGAACACTCGAGTCGGCAAAGGGCGAAGAAAATAACCCGGTTGCAGGATTGTGGAGGGTCGACCGCAACTTTTACGCTTGTCGTGGCCGTTTCACGTTGGTTTCTGTGTTGTGCCGCAGATAGGTCGAGGTTTAGACGATCTCGCAAAAGGGACCCCGACTGACGGGGGTTAAGATCGTCGGGACGGCAGATGTCAGGATGCCGGAGCAAAGCAACGACTATCGCGTGGTGGTGTTTGGGGCGGGTGGCGTTGGTAAGAGTTCTCTTGTCCTGCGTTTCGTGAAAGGAACATTTCGTGAGTCCTATATACCCACTATCGAGGACACTTACAGACAGGTAAGCCCGACAAAAAAAACACGTGGATTATAGACCGACAATGAAACGTTTCAAAATTCGGTTGGGTTTGAGAAAATTGTACTGATTTTTGTATCGTTGACCTGGCGATTACAATGGTGGTCATCTTGACCCTTAACTCCTGAGGTGTCAAAAACTGAAATGGTTCAAAAAGTGGTTTTTGCACCGATCTCGGTGAGTACGTCATTTCCAACTTTTTTTTAAGTGGATGAACATTATAGCACCAGAACCGAAATCTACTGTCCGAGTAGGTGTGGGGTAGTTTTTGGTGGTGGTGCCAATATTGAATACTGTTAATGTATATACCGTCTACACAATAAAAGTTCGAAATGATGTATTCGCCGAGATCGATGCAAAAAAAAAAAAACACTTTTTGAACCATTTCAGCTTTTGACAAGTGGGGGAGGGGAGGGGAAGTGGAGTTAAAGTTAAGATGACCACCATTGTAATCGCCAAGAAAATAATCAGCTCAATAGTAGAGTACTACATTTTCTTAAACTCAACCCAAAATTCAATTAACATTCGCAACTAAAAATTCATCATTCAATATTGAATAAACAATCGTCTTGTTTTCTAACAAGAGAAATAGATTCCTAAATTTTTATAAATTTTTCTCATGAAGAACCCCTGGTTTCAGTAATTTTTTACCGATCTGACTATATTTGTTGCACTCATAATCGAATTCTAAAAGAAAATAATTATTCTTGACATCTCCCAATTTATTATTTGAATAGAAATAATAGGTAGAAATAATATATTGTAAATATTCAATTAATTTTTTGACGGAGAACAAACGGTTTCCGAACATTTTAATCGGTTCACCGATCGTGCGTTTCGAACACGTTGCTAACGAAGCAATCGTGCGAGTCGATAATGAAACAAGTAGCGTAGAATTAGATCGGACAGGCGGTGCAAGTAGTGTAGGTGCGTCATGTATCAGGCAGCGGTAATAGATTTTCCAGATCAGATAAGTTGCAGGGACTACCGTGACGTAAACTGCTGACATTTTGCCGATGATTCATACATGATGCAAGATCATCGCTCTAATCGTGCATCTCCCCGCCATTATCTCGTTCTGTAATCGCGAGATTCACGTAGAACTAAACCGCGAGCAAATAGTCGATCTTCTCTCCACCGGCTTTCGCCTTTTTATTTGCATTTCAAATTCGTTCCCCGACTCGACTCGACTCGAGTCGATGAGGGCCGGTTTAAAGATTCAATTCAATTTATTTAAATACGTTTAACCTGCAAATTATCGCCGTAACTATGTATACCTTTCACATCGATTGCTTCAACTTGCGACCAATGCAATTACCAGTCTGTAGATTTTTAATCATCAAGATACCGATATTGATTCTCGATATACTCCAAGGGTTTACGATACCGTTATAGGCTAACAACTAAGGGACCTTTTAAACATTTTCGTTGAATAATTAACGGTTAAATTATTGCTTTTAAAATAATCGAGTTCGATATCAATTTACTTGCAAGTCTCGAACAACAACAAAAGTCAAATTGACGTGGTCATTGGTAAAATTGAAAAAAGATCGAGATCGTGGTTCAACCTGCTTTAATATGTTGTGGAAAATGGTTTCGATAAGATGATTTTCGTCTTCGCAATCTGTGCGTTGAAGTCACAAATCGCAACATTGTTAACAGAATATTCCAATGAATTTTGGTACGGTTTATTTCCTCTCTCGAAGATTAATCGTCTTTTGTTTTATGAAAGAAACGTGTACAAGAAGCAGGGATGTGCGACGTCGTTGATTTCTTTGTTTCTTTGTTCCTTTGTTTCACACGCAACGGCTTGTGAAAAGGAAACGAGTCGCTTCGGAGAACCCACTCGCGGACGTGTCTTCTGTTCTATATAATTTTTCACCAAGAAAAGTAATATTAGGAGTACCCATAAGTAATGTTTCTTTTTTCTCTTTTATTTTACGAAATTTCGTTTTATTTAAGATATAATACATCCTTAATCCACGACTTAATCTTCATTTATTCTTTAAATCTTTCTCAAAGTTCAAGGTTTTTATTTATGGAACGCGAAATTGAAAATTTCATACATACTCGCGTCTGCTCGTGTCAACTTGTCCACGTATAGCGCAAGGTCAAGAAGGAATCGGTTGTTTACGGGTTCCGCGACGAATTACTCGGACACACCTGTAAAAGAAAAAGCTTCGTTGGCGAAACTGTTGAGACCCGTGCTGTATGCGTGACGAGAATCGTGTCGGCGGAAACGGGGGACACCGAACGCTGAAATAAATAGGACGACCTGGTGCGGTATTTCAGGTGATAAGCTGCAATAAAAACATATGCACGCTTCAAATTACGGACACAACGGGGTCTCATCAGTTTCCCGCGATGCAGCGGCTTTCCATAAGCAAAGGTCACGCCTTCATCCTGGTGTATTCGGTGTGCTCACGGCAAAGCCTCGAGGAACTACGACCGATCTGGGCCATTATTAGGGAGCTCAAAGGACAGGATATATCGCAGATACCTATAATGCTGGTAAGACTCGACATTCTTTCGCAGTTACACCTTACATTCGTTGCTCGGGGGCTTGTTGTCTCTCCACGGATTATTGTTTTCGTCCGACACGGAAAATGCGAACATCCACCAGAATTACCTTTTTGTTTCCTCGCCTTAACCCCTTGAGGGATATTGGCACGTACGGTGGCCCACAATACTATTCCTATACCACGGCGATATTTGTTTAACCTCTTTTATTTGTTTAACCTTTATTGGTATTTCAATTTCATTAAACAAAATGTAACTACATGCAAGTAATGAAAGTATACTTCCCAATCTTTGAAATGGTATAGGTTTACGTCCAATAAAAATATTATTCTTTGAATAACCAAACTATGTGGAGTTACATCTTTTTTAAATTGTTCTCACAACACAAATAACATTAACTCGAGCCAATTGTATTATCATTCGTTTTTGTGTTCGCACGAAAAGACTTCCGTGGAGTGTCAAAGCCCTAACAAATTCGCCACATGTAAATACATAACATGCATATGTACATAGAGAATGAGGCACGCAAAAAGGGAGCATGAAACTATTTCCGTCGCTTTTGAAGAAAAAAATTTCAAAGCACAAAGTTGCACGGTTCAAAGATGCGGATAATCATTTTCAAGGGCGTTTTTACCTCGACATTTCAAGGTTCTCAAAACTTTTAAACGTGGTATTGTTGTTCCTTTTTTTTACATTCTTAGAAGAGGCCTAACCGATTAATCGCACGGCTTATTCGTATCTTTGTAAACAACGAGAGCAGTTGAGGTTGTAAATTTCGGACTAGATGATGTCTAGGGCTTTTGGAGGCGCTAATTCTAGATTTGAACTAAAAACGTACAAATTCGACACGTTATTGTCAAGGGTTGTCGATCCAAAGTGAATCTTTAGACGTAACGATGGTGGATCCAATATGGCAGATTAGAGTTAAAGCAAAGCGATACGGTTTAGATGAAATTCGGTACGTAGAGACTTTGAAATTGTCGATTACGTATATGAATTGAAAATTCAGAAATAGATATGACGGATTAGGATATAAAAAGTATCTTAGTTTAGATAAAACTTGATAGTTGAAAATTTTTACTATGTATAGTAATTAATTCTGTGCTTCTTTAAACTTACCATTCATGTTGCCTATTCGCCAATGCAGTTTATAATTCATGGAAATAATCTATCTATCGTGAGAATTCTAGTGCGAATATTTTGTTAACCAAGTGTGCCCCGTTGGTTTGTCCACCAGGTTGGGAACAAGTGCGACGAGAGTCCGTCGGTGCGCGAGGTGTCGCTGAGCGAGGGCGCAGCGGAAGCGGCGAACTGGGGCTGCGGTTTCCTGGAGACCTCCGCGAAAACGAATCACAACGTGAACGCCCTGTTTCGGGACTTGTTGTTGCTCGAGAAGAATCGTTCCGTCTCGTTGCAGCCAGTGCAGAGCAACAACGCGATCAGCCTGAAAGAGAAATGCGTCGTGATGTAACCGACCGCGGCCAGAGCGAGGTAGCCATCGTTCGAGGATGTTGCGGAGGGGCCTAGGGGACAAAGGGTCCATAGGTGGGCGCAACCGAAGACAAAGGACGAGGTTCACTCCGTACTCGACACAGGAAAACGTTTGTCGCTCGTTTTTCGACCCGGCGCCTACGTGGCATCGTCCACCGTAGTCTCGACGCGATCACTGGGTTCAGTAGGCTAACCTTGCGCGAGCGAAAGGGACGATAGGTATCTGCGAGACCACGCGTCGCACAAGGTGCGTCCAATGCTCTTTAAAACGCGTGAATCCTGTGTTCGTATTCATCCCGATCGACGTTCGCTTCGGACGTTCGTCGGCGTGTCGCGTATCGAGCATTTGACGCGCGTTGTACACCTCTTTCTAACCGAATGTACTCTATACTATTGATAGATTTTTTAATTTTGATACAGAGCGATGTACTCGGTCCGCTTCCTAGGTTCCACGAGACCAACAACAACCACGCGTTTTTCATCCTGCACGAGTTGGCTCGTTAGTCGAGGACAACCTCGCTGGTAGGTCGATCGTGTATTGCAGGGAGAAGGAAATATCGCGCCTCGTCCTAACTGACAGTCGTGCGACGACAAAATCGCTCGCAGCTGAGCCGCGGCAAGAGCGGAGGCAGGCTCGCGTTGCCGTGTAGGTTCTACCGATAAACAAACTTCAAAAAAGTAAAAACATCACGCCAAAGTATATGAAAAAATGGAGGACTCAAGGAGTTGTCATTGAAAAATAGAAGATCCCCATAAAAAACTACAAGTAGAAAAATATGTGAAATCGAAATGACCTGGCAGTACATGGGGGTGCTTTCCAGCATAGTGCAATGGCGACACTGTGTAACACAACTGTGTAGGGGGATTTTTGGGGGACAAATTTTGTAGAAGAATTTTTTTAGGGGTTTTTTAATATCAACGCCATCCGTTGAGGTAGTTGTTCCTCGTTGATATTTTGAGTTAATTGACCATCCAGTTTAGGAGATATATGATTAATCAAAATACGAAAATATGTAAACTAGATAGTCAATTACTTCAAGATTTCATAGGACTATTTCTTTGCAATGGCACGCATGTAAATATGATTATATTTTTACACATAACGACACTTATTTATATTCGACTAAATTTTAAATAAAGTATCTTTATTTGTGAGAAACTGTAATAAATAAGTAAATCAAATATTTTAGAGGCAATTGTTCTCTACTGGTTGGCAACAGGGCGGTAACGCGAGCCTGCCCCCAGTCTTGCCGCGGCTACAAGCGATTTTTGTCGCTGCGCGACCGTCAGTAAGGACATAGGGTCAGACTCTGGTGCATAAAGACCATCGGTCTTGTATAATAATGCAATCTTCGCTTAGGGAAGACATTTTTGCGGGGGCAATCTTCGAACCCCGACCTTTCGAGGAAAATCTCGAGCATCGCGTGGGATTCCTCAGGAACTATTCATCGAAACACCCACGGTTAGGGTGGGAAGGCCTGGAAACGTCAACAACACGACTTTTCCAACGCCCCAGGGAATTAGGAAAGGTAAACGTCTGACCTAACGCGAGATTTCCTGCCAGGGCTCGACTTTCTTTCTGTCTGCAATGCGCGTCTTCAACCACGCTGATTCGTCTCGAGCTTACTATACGGAAGGGACGCGATCGTGCCACGAACAGTGGTCGCGTGGTCCCTATCGCGACCAACGAACCAGCTGAACAATTTTTCGGAAAGAGCAACCAGTACAAAAGCGCGCGAAGTCGACCACGTATCTATAAGGGGGGACACCGTAACTCGTTATCCCGCGCTCTTTCACGAAAACCGTCGCGTCGCGCTTTCCGAGACTACTGCGCGATCACTTGGAACCGGTGTCGCTGGGCGTTCCCCCAAAGGAAGATGGAAACGACGGGGGGCCAGGGGATAGGAAGACGGGAGAAGAAATTGAGCGAATACGCGAACGAGAAACGACAAAACTAGATAAAAGTTGTTACGAGGTTGGTTTTTGTTGAATAGTTGTAAGGTTTTTGTAACGATGCTAATTAGGATTTATTACTAGACTCAACGGAAAGTACAGAGATATACACACATACACGTACGTACACTTCGAGCAGACACACACACACACACACACTCACGTACACGAGACAGGCTTACGCACACAGGTACATTAGGCACACGCGTTTCTCGCGTTGACCCAGATTTTAGTGTTTTCCTCCTGTATGTCGTGCACACGTAGACCGCAGGCGTGTTAGTCTTTACGAGGAGACGCTAATTAAAGGGACTCGTCGCGATGGGCTTGTTTTCCTCTCGACGATTTTCGTTTCACCGCGATGGCGACGCGTTTATTGCCGCGGTTTCGAACCGTTTCGCGAAACTTTCGGACGATTTTCAAACGTTTCCCGGTCACAGGGATTTTTTCACGTTTTTATCGGGCGACATCGATTCGGTACGCGTACACGTTTAACCCTTCGAGCGCAGAGTACTCCCGGCCAAACCAATCTGCTGGAAATGGAATTCTTTTTTAAGGGGATTGTACTATGCGACGACCAGTTATTTCTGCTTTTTTCCAGGATTTTTTTTCTGGATCGCTTAATTATACATACTCGAAATGTTTATTACATTCTCACTGGTGTTTAAACAAACGATACAAATTTTCTCGAGCAGAAATATAGTTTTTTTTTCTGCGCGCGTGCAGGGCTGTAAAAAAAATGACTGCTACGACACCGGCTGTTCTCCTTATCTAAAATCAAAAAATGTAGTAAATATTTTATTTATAAACCTGTGGCTATAACTGGTATTTTATCAGAAAGTTTTGTAATTTTGACACAGCTTCCGGAACAAACACATTCTCACGTGAATATTTTCAATTTAAATCAAAATGCAATTTAGAAAGCTGCCGAAAAGTTAATACGTTATAAAGACCGAAATTGTAAACCAGTTAAAGAAAAATTACAATTATTGACCGCCCTGTTAGCGAGATATAATTCGTTAAAATCTGAACAGTCCGCGTTGTTATGAAAACTATGAAAACTGGAGCAGCCGCACAGGCGGGCGGTTAAATCGCGAATAGGAGATTCGTCGGAGGAGACCATTGCCCACCGGTTTAAAAAGTTTTTCTCAACTTTCTGTCGGTATCTCGTCGATACGATAGTTTTCTTTTCCGACAGCGTCACCGTATCGCCGGAAGCGAACGCTTTTCTTCCGAGTGGACAGAATCATAGATCAGAATTTGGCCAAACAGTCGTCGTTTACCAAGGAATGATTAGATCTTCTCGGCGGATATCAACGAATCAAGGTTCCAGCCACTTTGTAGTCAGTTTGTATCGATAGTCTGTCCGCTCGTGTCAACGTGCAACTTCGTACGACGATAGGTTTAAGGGACGAATCCTGCTATTCTGTCCAACGCAAATTACCAAACAAACAAAACGAACGAGAGTTATCCCGCGGATATTATGATTCGATAGAGATCAACGTTATCGCTACGATTATTACGATTATAATATTATTACGAATCTTCGAACGCTAGCGGTTGTTTTACGGATCGTACGTTTTGTAGGCAAACGAAGGGAGATATCCCGCGTAATTGTTGAGTATACGAGCTGATCGTTAGTAAACGGATACGTGCTTGCAGCCTTGGGCGAAACGAGGGCTGCTTTCAGACCGATTCTGCGTCCCCCAAACTTCACGGCGTTCGTTCTACTTTGCTTTTACGGAATCATACTTTTACTGCTAAAAGAGTTGATCACGCTTTCCACTATCAGGGAATAGTTATTTAGTATACGTTGGACATTGAAGTAACATATTGCCGATCGATCAAAATCAAAGATAATATTCACAGGTAGTAGATAAGAGTTAATTTTCAAGAGTCGCATTATTTTTATTTGGTACATTGTATTCTTGGAGAAAGTAATCGTTTTATTCAACAGTTTTATGTGAATATAATCAATGAAATATCACCGATTGCAGGTGTGAATCTTTAAAGAAAGTTCGTCTTCGAATGGTTCCACAGACGCGATGTATACCATTTAAAAAAAGCCACGTTATTAATCTCCATATTTTAAATTAAGTTATCGTACGAAGTTCAGGAAAGCGATTGGCAAAGTGTTAATGAAATGTAGCTTAATCTACGACGATACTTTTTCCTTCGCGTGATCAAGGCTCGATACAAGCATAAGCAAATGCTGAAGAGTTAATAAACCTTCTTGAAAAAAATCTGTTTCGAACATCTTCGTAGCAATGTAACAATGCAATTATTAGATCGATCTTTTGTTTTCAAAGAAGAACGAGCAAAATAAATAGTTCGGGGACGCCTTGTAGTCCGGGAGACGCTGAACGAAAACTGAAACACTCGGTGAAGCTGACAAGACGTGCGCGTGACGTCTCGCGGCTCGTGCGAATCTTTTTATAGAGATTTGTTTAGTAATCATGTACGCTCGTTTACTATTCGTACAGTCAATCGACGCAACTCCTAAGGCATATAAATTGTAAATAAGATTTTCTATATTCAAGTTAGGCCGTGATGTGGGCGTTAGTTGACCGAGGTATACGCATCGTTTGGATTGTCTGGGGTCGCGACAAGGTTGTCCAGAAATTGAGATCTTATTTATCCCGATTCGACGACTTTAATTAACATTTCCGAACGTGGCATATATTTTTTTACGAGGCTCGTAGCATTAGTCACACCGATGTTCGTTTCACGAAGAATCACGCAAGTGCGCTGCCTTATCTCGACTAATAAGATATTAGGGGCTTTCATGGCCTGGTTCTTCGTGGTTGATAGCCACAGAGACTTTCGGGTGTTGGCGTTGCAGCTAGCTTCTTCACGAGTCAAATAACACGCTGGCTACGTAATTGAAATATAATGAAATTAAATAATGCGATTGAATCACGGGCTAATTCAATTAGCACAATTGTGCCTGTATTTCAGCTACGTCGCACTTTGATTACATTGTAATTCAATTATATATGAATTATACATGAATAATTAAAAAATGTTTGAATTGTGTAATTCAACTGTAAACAAAATTGAATGTTACAATGTGATTAAATGTCGTGATTGGATAACAGCGTGATTAAATTAGCAGAATTGTGTCAAGTCGCGTTCGCCCCAATTTTTTGATTCATCAACCGAACGATCGTAACAACTTCTACCGATGCTCGGCGAATCGTACAATGGCCTCGATGATTGGCAGTAAACGAACCATGAGACGAGCACAGGTACTTTCGAGAACCTACACGCGAACGCGAACGCGTCTTTCGACCTCTGAATAACCAGCTGCAACGTCTTACGTCTTACGTCAAAGGACACGAAACCACGGAAGCCTTCCCATTTATTTGATTGTATCGTGATATTACGAGGCAAAAGCGCGTTAAATCGATTCACGCTCGTTTGCGACGGAAACATCCCCCAATTATAGTTTAGGCATCAATTCCTCGACAACCTGATGCATGGACACGTGCACTCGCGTATCTGTGCATGAACGTATGTACATACGCACACGTATTCGCTGTTATATTTAGACGCAAGGTCTAATAGTGTCTAGTCAAAGGCGAATCTGACCTTATGGAATCGACCCTCGGCAGGCTGAGAGACCTGAAACAGAAGCACCGGCTGACTGTGAGACAAAAGAAACGATCGCGCGAAAACCACCTACACACAAACACGCACGTACAAGTACACGAACACACACAAGCGCGCACACATAAGTTAGAAGTTTAACAAGAACTTGTATCCTCTGATTTTTTCGGGGCCAATCGATGTGATTAACACACGAATCGTGAGCTTCTTCCGCGCGACGGTAGGTCGACTTCCGTTCCTTTCGCGTCAATGCAGGATTCTGCGATCGTTCGTTTAGATTCGATCCTTCGCGGCTTGCGGCGGCTCGCCTCCCCCTCTTTACGTATTTTTGATGACTTTTTATCTCGCTCGAGAAATTCTCCATTTTCTATCTCCCCATTTTTTACCAAACGACTGCTTCGCCGTGGACCTTTCTACCCTTTTACGATTTTATTAGGACCGATCGAAAGTTCTTTGCCATTTTTCTTCGTTCTTCCTGCGCTCTCTTTTAACAAATATTTAAATACAGTAATTAGGAATTGAATTAATTGGAAAGTTTGTATCATATAATTTATTTCTAACTTAATCGAAATACGATATAATTAAATATGTACATACATACATGTACATCATTTAGAAACGTAGATTCTGCTCTACATTAATGCAATTTATTAATTTATATTTATATAGATACAAAACGGAATTATTCTTATCCCAATCAAATACTTGAGACAAAATGAAATAAAATGAATACAATTTATTTTTAGATAACATCATGTATGATATAAAAAGGAAACGACAATTATTAAAGTCTCATCTTTTTCAAAAAATTTAAAGAAATTAATTCAATGGATTTGGTAAAATCGGAAAGAACTTTTGATTCAGCCTGATAAAACTAAAGATTCGTCCTATATTTCACAAAGGGCCGCGATCCTCGAGGGATCAAGTTCAATATTTGATTTTCTTCGACAAGGGATGGTCGATTCTCGTACAAAAAAATCGATTTCGAATCGAAATTACTGAAATCGATTCCCTAAAAAAATTGACGCCTACAACATCAATCTCTCGAAAATCATTTTTCCACTCGAAAACTATATTTTCTCATCTTTAGACTAGATTTGCATACTTAAGTGTTCGACCTTAAAACTACCAAGCAAGTCAATTTGATTAATGTTAACCTTCGTTTTAAAATTACTCGGTTATTAACGATGCGGTTTGCTACAATTTTTAATGGCTATTATTAAATTAAAATAGAATTAAGACTAGTTACATTAATAAATTGATTCGTCTCTCATCCCTCTAATTTCAAAGATACACTACGGAACAATATTATTCGTCACAATTTTGTCACATTTCTAATGCGCATAATTCCATCGATTGTCATTGTATCAAGACAATTTTTGCCTATTTTGTAGGTAATTATCTGCATTGTAAGAAGGTATTCTAGTCTAGAGCGTCAATTTTTTAGTTCTTTTCGAGGATTTTTTTTTAATCTATAAGGGATTTTTATAAATGTTTATAAAGTCGTTACGGACTCCTGTCTCTTTAGGCGTTCGTAACTTCGTTTATTTTCCGAATCGAACAAAATCCTTTGGCAGATATATTTTCAAGAATCTACACTTTAGGAAACTGCTAAAAAATAGATCATTCGAAAGTTCCGGACTAGAATATCCCCTCAAGGAGAAACGAATGCCAAATGGATGTCCGTGTTGTACGGGTTTTCCGATTTTATCGAAAAATCGATCGAGAGTCGAACATCCCTACCTTCGACGCCGACGAACGCGGGCCGTTTGTGTCTGCGCATGCGTTATGGATCGGTCGCGCGCTCGAGATCGTCGATTACTCGCCGAGCCGAACAAGTGTACTTTGAGAGCACAAATTTTTATCGCGTTGTATCGATAGCCAAGGCACGCACGACCACGAAGATACAGACCTCGATGGATCTCGAACGATATTACGCTTTATTTTTTATTGTGTGTCCAGAAACGTCCGGTGTACTCTGATATTTCGATGACGGATCGGTGGCCCCGTTGTTCGAGGACGGGGAACGTTGTTTAAGACGACTGCGCAACAAATTTTGGGGGAGAATAGCACTGCGAACGGAAGAAACGCTAAATGGGATGTATAGACGCTTTACCATACCAGACTATCGTCCAGAAATTGGTCTGCACGATCTCCTCTTGCGATTTTAGATGAGAAATTTAGTGTATACGAATTCCTGTGTAACAGTTTACTCGGGTTCTGGTCTAACAAAAATTAGTTAGCGACAGTGGTGGCTCGAGTTGGAAAATCTTCTCAGCGATTTTACGGTTTAGTAGAAAAAGTTTCTTCCGTCACATATTTCTCCACAGATCTTCCAAGTAGCGTGATTTGCTTGAACGGAAAGTCCCATATCATTGAAACCATATCGAGTTTTTTTTATCAAGTCTTTGGAGAAGAGGTTCGATTCTCATTCGTCTTCGAACAACGGCTTCCGGTCGGACAAAAGAAAGGTCGTCCGTGCCAAATTCCGTTGTCCGTTATTTATGGAGTTTACTTAGGCTTAAGCTTGTTGTTAAGTGATCGATTTTAAAACACCACACACAGTTCTCTTAATATCCGTGTCTTTGTTGGTTCATACGACAGAACGAAATCGTAAATCGTAAACGACCACGAGCATGCTTGCCACACTTCGCTTTCCTGCAAAAATAAAAAAAAAAAAAAAATATCATCGATGTAAAGAAGAAGTCTTTTAAGAATTAAGGAACATTAAATGCGAACGTGTCAAAGGTGGGGATGCACTCGAGGAAGGAAGCAGAAATGTAATAATAGAATGTTATTACCTATAACTCTCTCGGTGTAGATCTAATCGTAATACTTGAAATGTTCTTAACAAAAGTGTGATCGAAGAGAAAGTAAATGATATAGTACCAGAGTTGAACGTGTTATATCAACGAAGTTATCATATCAGTAAATCATATCTACCATCCATTGATTCTCAGATACAAGTCCAAACGTTACAATAATACACAGTGTTTCTGTAGAACGTAGGATGTAAAATCGAGCGTGCGAACTCGATCAAACGGAGACGAGAAAATGTGTATCCGACTGTGTCGATGAATCAAGCGAATCTCGGGGGAGGATTAGTTCCCGCCTTTGATCAGTCGTTCGCGAAGAGAAACGAAGGAATCACATATCATGGCTGCGCGTTCCACTGTGTATACTCGCGAGATAGAGTGCGTCTAGAATGGCACGAAGAACGTTTCGAATATTTAGCGAAAGAGTACGAATCGAATGACCGATTTTATTGTTGCGAACGGCTCGTTCATTATTATCCACTCAAACCGTTTTAACCGGCTACGAATCTGTACTCGTGAAAGATAAACCGCGAAATTATACAATCTTGATTCTTGGCAACTGTCTCGTTCATTGAAACCATCCAACCACCATCCCCAACAATCCCTTTATTATTATTGGAAATGAGGTATAAGTGAATAATAAAATACTGAATTTATAGATTAACTTTAGCTTTATTCGCTAAATTGTCACGAGCAAACTGTGATCTTTTCTTTACGAGGAGCTGCACAAGACTGACCGATGAACGTTAAAAGGAAACACCGTAGAAAGAATTTCTAGCTGTATACAGCGTAGTTTTACAGGAAGGTTCCTCTCAGGCACTTGAGAGGGTAGACCATCGCCTAAACGAAAACTTTCTCTTTCGTTATTCTGCAGTGACAGATATAACGTTGCGCATTTATTCTCGGTCTAAAGATCTTATTACAAGTTCGCAGCCATTAGCTCGCTATTACTCGCAAGGAAGGATCGTTGAAACAATATTTGGCCGATACTTGTTTTTCTCTAGAAAAAGACTAGCTAGAGTCTGCTAGAGGACGGCAACCAGCCATTCAGTCCATCCACGCAGTTGGTCACTGCTTATAAAACGAAGCAATAGTGACTGAAATGACCGAAATTACGCGCCAATAAAAATACGGTCAAACAAGCAAGAGAAAGTGGTTAATAATTATTTGCAAGCGTTTCGTACGACGCGTCGTACAACGGATCGTACTGTTGTACGGGAACAGACGATGGAATCCTATTCATACGTTCGAAGGGTCCGTCGAAACGGTTGGTCGTACGACGTGTTGTACAACAGATCGTATCGTGTATATGGGGCGCTTTAGGACAATAACGGCTATCGAGGACGAAAACGAACGAAATTCTAAACTAAAACTAAACTGATATTCCTGGCAATATCAGAACGGCTCTAAAAAATGGCCTTGCTTCGCGAGAATGATCTAAACTTTCGTTGGCCTTCCCGTAATTTGTTCCTACGCGTCGGATGGAACAGTTTTTAAGATTGTACATAGGGAGATCAAAGAAATTGTTGTTTCATTCTATCTCTCTTCGGGTCTGTACTCGCAGCAACCACCACGTGGTGAGACCTGGTAATCGGTATTACTCGCAAGGAAATATTGTTCTAACGAGTAATAGCGAGTAACAGCGAGCTGCAAACTTGTAATAAGATCCTTAGCAAATAGGTGCGTCGAATACACCACGCGTTACAAGTGTAACTTGTTAGACACAATGGTGAAATTTTATTAATTCTTCCCAGATATTTGGAAGATGATACAAAGAACTCGCGATACAATAATTTTGTCGTCGCAAGTGCATTATATCATTTTCAGAATGTTCTTGAAATACTTGCTCGAGTCACTGCATACGTCTAAATATAAACAAAATCATTTTATTTTACACTGTATGGTCGTGACAGCAGGTCCTCGCATCGCAGGAAGAATCACGTTAACACGAACAAGAAACACTGGTGTAACGATCGATCGACGAGAAACAGACGAATCCTGGGGCCGTTGGAGGAATAAGCGTGTCTTTTCGTTACTTGGTACATCGAGAGTGTCAGGGAGGCCAGACTCGCGTAGCCAGAGGCCAAACAACCGAGTAGGAGTGGCGAGGAGAGCAAACATCGGGGAACCAATCGTCGAGAAAGGGTGGTCCAGTGGATGTTTGTCTTCCTGGTTCACCGGGGGGATGCTGGAAGCACGTAGCGCGATGTTCGCGGAGCCAATCGGGAGCGATGTCGATGGAGATGTCCGAATCTTCGCCGAGAGATTTCTTTCGACGAGGAAGCCACTCAGTCGAAGATCAACGATCGTCGAAAGGCTCGTTAGACGATCCCATCTAGTTCGCAATCTTTCAAAGTGTCTCGTTGTCTGGCTCGCGTTTTCGCGACCGGTGGACATCGCAGGGTTTCGCGAAAATGAATAACTAGGAGGGAATAGATACGGATAACAGCTTGGGTTTCGATTGTTTTCCAAGCTTAGGATCGTTCGAAGGATGCTGCGAGGAAAGAGCAGAAACAAGTCGGAGAACGTCGAAGACGAGGGCCAGGTGAAACAGAGGAGACCGAAATGCGCGCGTTGTCGAAATCACGGCCTGATCTCCTGGCTGAGGGGCCACAAAAGGGAATGCCGTTATCGCGAGTGCCTTTGTCCGAAATGTTCCTTGATAGCGGAGAGACAGAGGGTGATGGCTGCTCAGGTAAGCTCCACTCGATGTTAACCCTTTGCACTCTTGAGCATGGTTCTCAGACGCAGACGGTATCTAGGGCTGCGCTTCAAGTATCCCTCGCAGACACGACAAAGTGCGTTAGATAGCTCCAGATGGAACAGCAGTGTTCTAGGCGAACACGTATCAAACCAAGATGTAATATTTTCAAGGTTTTTGGGGAATTTTTAAGTCTGCTGGTCAGGACATTACGTAGCTCCTTTGATGATGGACATTCTGAATCGATACTTTTTTTCGTCATAGATCTCACGAAAAAGGTACAGAAAGTTTTTCTTTGAAATAACTGAATTTTTTAATAAACGAATGAAAGGCCCTTTTGTCACTTTTCTCGAATTGCTTGTTAACCCCTTGCACTATTTTCACGAGTCTGACTAGTTGTGAAAATTTTAGGCCAAACTTGAAAATCTCGAGTCAGACTCGCGATGAAAATTTTAGGCTAATTCTCCAATTTCTATCTCCCCATTTTTTACCAAACGACTGCTTCGCTGTGGATCTTTTTACCCTTTTACGATTTTATTAGGATCAATCGAAAGTTCTTTGCCATTTTTCTTCATTCTTCCTGCGCTCTTTTTCGACAGATATTTAAATATAGTAGACCCGAAGAGCCTATGTGACAATTTTAGGCTAAACTTGAAAATCACGAGTCAGGCTCACGATGAAAATTTTAGGCCAAACTTGAAAATCACGAGCCAGGCTCGTTGTTAAATTTAATGCAACGGGTTTGGCGCGACTTTTTTCGAGTTCGGGCATAGTGCAAGGGCTTAAACTGTGCATTTAAACTGCGTTTGCGATGGTTTGTCTATTATTTCCGAAAAAAATCAGTGCGATCCAGATACCACCGTTAAACGATCAAATTTTTAAAGAAAAAAGGTACCTAGTAGCTATCAGAACACGGAGGTGCGGCATCGACTCGCATCCATATGTCATTAATTCTCTCTGTAGATTGAAATAATTTCCGACGAAATAAAAAAGAAATATTGTCTCGATACAATGAAAATTGACGGAGTTAGGCGCGTTTGAGAAATGACCAAATTTTTTTATGAATAATTTTGTTGCGCAGTGTATTACCTGAATGTTTGCACACGAAATAAACAGTTTCCTCTTATTATTCTCAATTCCAAATAGTTTCGTTTCATTCGAACGATATTGTACGCAACTAAATCCTAATTACTCTCGTACCCACTCGTACATACATATATCGAAAACGGCACCGTTGCGTCGCGTCAGAAGTCGTGCGTCACACGGCGGATCAGATTAACGCACTTCTGTTATTACAACACAATCGTCCGTATGCATGCAGCTTTGGTTTCAGTTTCTCGTCGCAAAAGAGTTAATGAAGCGTCTCGACAAACAGGTGGAACCACGGACAAAAAAAGGTCAATTTGCCGCGCGTGTCGTCGAATCGGATCACCTTCCATATTTACCACAGCCGATTCGCCCTCTGTTATTTTCCAGTCAGGAAAAACAGCGCATCGTTGTCGCCCTCCTCGGTGAATCGCGTCGGTGGTTTTTCCGACGACAAAGGGTTGTAACACAGATTCAGTTTCATTCGTGGCACTTGTGCCACTCGATCCTCTCTCCCGCCTCCGCTCCGCCACCCTCTCGCTTGGAAAAAGTCGATCAACGAGGGGCCCAGAAGGGGGAATTAAATCCATTAACGCTCGGTGTAGCGTTTCATTTTTGTTTGCACAGGCATTACGATACTCGATACTTTGTCCACCTATGGCTTTCGATTCGGTCCACGCAGTCCTCGAGCATGACAGCGTAAATTCATGCGAGAGAGGCAGAAAAAATGTAGGGAGGGTTGAAAGTCAGTTGCGCATTATTAGAGCGATCCTTAAGGAGTAAGGCCACTCCGGGTCTCCCAAAAATAAGCTAATTTCGCGAATTTTTGTTCAGAAATTGATTAAAAACAGTGAAAAATTCAAGCGGAGTATTTTATTAAATGCATAGCGATGCATAAAAGAAAATTTGTTTATATGTTTCTCTTCTAAAATTGCGAATTGAGTCCCAGGACAACCACACATATATGAATACCTGTTCTCAAATTTGTATGTAGAAAATTACTGGCAGTCGATTTCCACACGAGTGGTTGGACGAGTATACCCGTCACGGAGAAATGGCAGTATTTTGTGTCATGACGAGTATATACTCGTTAATTTTTGTTCATATGTTTTTCTTCTAAAATTGCGACTTTAGCCGCAAGGATCCTTTAGCGAAAGGATCGAGCACACCGATTTCAGCCTAGAACAAAAAACCGAACATTTTTTGTAAATTGATTGCAAAAGCTATGGGACAAGCTTACGGAAATTTGGAAATACTGTTTTCTCGGAAAATAGCGCACAAACAAAACGTCGAAACGTTATTTATAAATGTCTACACTTTGACAAAATGTAAAACAAATCGATATTTTGAAAGTTCTACACTAGAATACTCCCTTAAGGGTTGATCCGCTATGACTGGAGGAATTAGAGGATCCAGCCGATCTCTGAAGTCGAGATTTCTAATCCCGCTCGCTCCACTTTATTTTGTCTGGGAAACGTAAAATCTAAAAGAGGGACTCTGTCGGACTTCCTCGATGATCCCCGATGTGAAACAATATAGTGGGTGGTCCAGCCGGGAATAACGCGTGCCAAATGGTCCCATATGTATCCATATTGACATTGGCCGTTATGAAAACACATATGCAGTATCGTCTAAGCGGCGGGTCCATTTATAAATTGGAAACGAAGCCGTGATCCGATCTGGCTTCGCTCCTTTTTTCATTCACGCGGATTTTCCCCTCTGTTATTATACAATAGAATCGATCGAGCGGCCAATGACACCGATTGTTTCACCTGTGGATCGTGCGAAAATAGGAGAGGTTTAATGTAGTTGTTCCGTGAATTTATGTAATGGAAGGTTTTAACGAAACTTCACTCGATCGTTCTTTGATTAAATAAGAATCATATGGGCATATCTCGATTTAAATTTACCACCCAAGTTTTATGAAAAACGACATAAAAATGTTGTCATTTCGACATAGATCCTTACGGGGATGTGCAGAATATGCGAAAAGGAGGGCGAAACGATTCTACATTTAATAGAGAACGTGAAGGGGTAGGAAACACAGAAATGGAAGTAGAGAAAATTTTAGACGAAAAAGATACCAGAGTTCGGTGGATGAAAATGATTCTAGAGATTTTCACGTGAATTTGTTTAATTTAAATCAAAATGTATACGAATATTTGTAATTTGTTCCAAGTTTGTATTTATCTACAAATGATATTTGGGATTGCAACAAGGTGGCCTTGAAGAGACAGCAAGCAGCCGAGGATGCGATCGCCCTAAAAATGGCCAAAGTAGCGACTGGTCAGAAGCTCAGTCGACTTCCCCCGGGGAAAATATTTGGAATGGCTGTCACCGAGCCCAAGTCTACGATAGACGCCAGCAAGGAAGACGATTTACTTCGGAAAGAGGTCGAGGAGACGGCGGAAGACTCGAAGAAGGAGAGCTCGTTGAAAGATCAGTGCCACGAGCCTCCGGTACGTATCGGAAAGAGCTAATTGTAAGTTAGAAGTTACTTTGTTCAAAGTGATTGGAGGACTTGGAGCAGGGATTGGTAAAAATTCATAATACATTATTACGGAGACACTATGTGGGCAAAAGAATCTTTCGATAGGAAACGGAGTAGCGTACCTTCTCCCTCCATGAAGGTGTCCTCTACTTACTTGAACTAGATCCTTCGATTTTTGACGCGAAGTTTACATATGCGAAATCACATTTCGAATCGATTTCTTAAAAATTACTATTTTCTTCGGTCCAGTAAGAACACAAATTTAACGATGACATTGAAAATTTAAATTTAATCTCCTCACGCTCTTGGCCGCATATATGTGGGCGTTTAGTTTTTTATGTGTGAGCCACCAATGGTACATGCCGACGTGAATGTGTTAAAGTATGAATTTAAATAACGAAAACAAAATTCTTAAATTTTGCCTATCATAGCTGCGCGTGCCTCCTTGAGGTACCTTTTGTGATAATAACGATAACTCGACAAAGCGATGTCTTAAAGCGTGTCTGTTGTTAAACTATGGTCCACAGTCGGTTGTCGAAGATCTGGCAAATTACAAGAGCCAAATCTTGTTCAGCGCCAAGAGCCAAGACGACGCAAAAGAGAGTAGCGTGTCGCAGACCTCGGTGGACACTTTAGCACGCCTCTTCCCCAATACGAAGCTCTCGGTGCTGCAGCTGGTGTTGCAGAGATGCGGTCAGGACCTGTTGAAGGCGATCGAATACTTTGCCAGCGACAGTTTTGGGCTAGGTTCCACCGCGTACGCCTCCGCCTTTCGACCGCCAGCGCAGACAATCGGCGAGACCAGACCAACAGATCAACTCGCGAACACGATGCTGGCGCCGATCTACTCCAGCTTATCGAGGAGCCTCTACGGGGACGGCTACTGCCTGTTGAACATCGTCCCGGACCAGTTCCCAAAGAGCATCGTGGCGGACGGGCTACCCATCAAGAACACCGCGCAACACGATCAGGACAACGTAGCACTGAACGTACAGTATAACAATTACTTCAATTCAGGGATACAGCAGCAGCTACGGGACCACGTTTACGCCCAGGTCACCGATCATCTTCCTTCTAGACCAGGCTTCCTCCATTTACCTCCTGTACTCCCAGGTATTCCCTGCGTGCAACCCAACTGCGCTCAGTGTAGCTACAAGTTTCCCTGAATCGGTTAGGTTGCGCGATAAATCCGTGTTTTATTCTAAAATTAAGAATGTAACCCATCTACACTGTTGAAAATTTTGTGTCAAGGGAGCTGTTCCGTGGATTTATTTAATTAAGGATTTTAACAAGACTTTGCTTGATTGTTCTTTGTTTAAATACAAATCATACGAGCCTATTACGATTTAAAATGACCAAGTGATATAAAATTACGAAATTTTGTAATTTTAACACACTCTTATGAAACGTACAGATGTCCGTGTGAATTTTATCAATTTAAATCAAATTATGCAATTTAGGAAGTCGCTACATTTGATATCTAATAAAACGCGAAATTATAAACCGTTTAAAAGAAAAAGATAAGATTTATTGAAGGTTTGTATCTTCAAATTATCGAAATAAAGGTACGAGACTTTACAAGTACATATAAAGTATGAAAAGTGCTAAAGCTGCGAGACGAATTAAATAGGAAAGTTTTATGATAATAGGTTCGGCAGTCGACGTGTTAAGAGTACGAGAAAACAATGGCCGACGCGAAAAAATAAAAAGGAACCTAACCCAGATCCATTAAGTACAGCCTGTAGCCAACAAACAGCTTTTCAGTAGGGAAAAACACGTTTCGCGGCTTGTACTCGACAAGGCTTAACAGACCACTCGAGCGAGCCTCGAGTAGATCGCTATATTTGTTCCTCGCATTATACAACAGTGCTATCCCACATGAGCTCTGGTACTTAGGGACATTCCTTCGCTCTTGCTCCCTCGTTACCGTAATACAAGAATCGTTATCTAGTGCCGTGTTACGTGTGCAATCGTGCAATCGTACATAATTAGATAGTTTTATCTTCGTTTCATTTCAGAGAAAATTTCGGGCTCTGACGACCCGAATAAAAAATAAAGAATTAACTTGCCAGGAAAAATATGTGTTTGTAGACTTCCACGAGTTTTACGGTCGCCGAGAACTATTCTAACAGGTTTTATTTCACGCTTGAGGGTCAAAGGTCAATCGGTGGAGAGGGGCACGTGTTGGAGCAAGTGATGCCTGTCGCGAACACGCTTCACTTAGCTCGACTCGTTGTTCTGAACTTTGAAGATTAAAGTCTACCGATCACGGATATTCCCTTGCTGATACCAGCTCTCTTCGTGGCTCGCCTTCGCGAGGAGCTCGTTAAGCCCACGTGGAAATTTCACACACGATAACGCCGATAACGTTCAAGATTCCTTCTACATTAATGTAGTTTATGCAGTTTATAACTGATTAATCGTCAGTTATAATGAGCTCCAAGTGGCGGTCAAGTTTGGTATCATTGGATGTTCCTCTTCGAGACGAACAACTTTCGTTATCCACTTTTTTTTATCTGATGCACAGTTCCGGAGATATTTCAATGTCAAAGAGACTTCGATAGGTTTAGTGTTAAACATTGAACTTTTAGAAAATGTCAAATAAAAATATCGGCTAGTTTATTCATCGAATAAGAATGTCCTCCCTTGGGAGGATGTTTTGTTCGGTTATTTATGAAGTGGAAAGTTTTCTTTGGGAACTGGCTATAAAGTTTCACAGTAGCATCGTACCCGCTGAACTAATAGGGCGGCAGTAATCTAGTTAGAAAGATTCAATTGTCTGTACAAACAGTGCCGATATCGTCGATGCCTGGAAGCGGTTTGCTTTCGCTTCGGTTTTGGGAAGAGCAAACAACGGTTGGCCCCTCGAGGAATCCGCAATCCTTCGTGTTTTGAATCACGAGGAATTTAACACTGTCCCAAGAAATGTAATCCATGCAATCCTCGCAATATCAAAATAAAGGGTACGAAAGAACTGAACACAGATAGTGGAGTAACGTAAATAAATTTGTATCGTTTATCTTTATTTGGTTCTTTCATAAACGTTTCACAGGACGTGAATTAAATTTTACTTCTTTTTTTTTTGGTACGTATACGATACGAATATACCAAACATTGCGTTCTTTACGTCGTCTGTCTTTAAGAATAAATGGTTACTTGCTTAACAATAGGCACATCAGTTTTGCGCTAGAATAACCATTACCATTAAGAAATACACTATGTAAACGTTACATAAAAGTATTAATCTTACGATCCAGATTAACAACGTTTACACGTGTGAACTAGGTTCGATGTACGCCGCCACTCTTGCGTGTACGCCTTCGCATGGAAAGAACGTATGGAAATTAGCCTTCGTCAGGTGCAATCGCTGCCAAGTTCGCAATCATTTCGCGTCTCACAGAAATATATGTACAGAGATGATAGTTTCATCAAATGTATGTACATTCATCGTCACTCTTTGAGGAAAACCGTGCGTACCACAATATTCGTCGTTGTTCCAAACGAAATCCAATTTAGAATCGAAGATGTGGTTTGTTCTTGATCATATGTCTGTAAGAATTGAAATTAATACTATAAAACATCACTCGATATGATGTACTCAAACGACTAGAGCAAGGTTTCCTGAACTTTTTTAATAGCAGAATATCATTTATCCGATCAAACATCCGATACACTCTTTTCTGTCCATTTGATATTCACAATGAAAAACGTATGATTAATGGTCAAAATATATTTCATTTTTTTAAACAAAATCAGGAAAAATAAAATAATATTCTACGTAAAAAAAGTTATGCATATTCGTACTGATACAACACAAATTATGGTGTTTATAATAAAAAATAAATTGCACTGTATGGTTAATTCTTCGTAAATGGTAATAACGCTACCTTTTTAGATGTATCGTAACGTATACAATCTGTGCATAGTCGCATAAAACTAATACAAATACAAGCTATACATTTAATACTAAACACATAGAATCTCTATCATACTTGATATCTAATTTATTTCCTTGAATTATCCTCAACCGTTTTGAGTAGTATGAACAAGACATTTTTATGCATATACTTACTTGTCGAGGTGTTCCCAGAATACCATTAATGCAGCTCGGTCCAAGTGTCTTTTTGTCCGACTCAGTTCGATTACTGTTACCGCCCAACGCGCTACGTTTGCATCCAGCCTCATTTCATCGTATTTTAAGTGAAACGCGCAAACTGAAAAGTAACGATAAACCGTGTTAGATGACGCTCGTCATTAACATAATTCAGCGGTACAAAAAATATAGACACGATTACGTTTTTTAATATAATTTATTAGAAAATCAATGCCGCAAACCGGAATTAACTGTCGCGTTTAGTTTACAAGTTATATTCAATTAAAATTGAAAAATGCGACGTAAAGTAAAATCATTAAAAAAATATCGTTAACTCCTTCAAATATACATACTTTTTGAGAAAATTTCGACAGGATTGCCATCGAAAGGCCAACCCTTGAATTGCCAAGCTGGACCCATTACGAACACAGCGACAACCCTTTCCCAGTCTGCGTTTGTGAGTTTCTGTGGATTGTCTACTACTCTGTATGGAACTGTAAGCCCACCATCCTTACGACGTTGCAGGAGGACTTCGTTCTCACGTTTAGTACCCAATGCACGTTTCTCCTCGTTGCTGAGATACTTCAAATCCTGAAGTATGTCTTTCGCGTTGTACATTGTAATCAACGATGTATTCGCGCTCGGAATGATGATGATGGGTGTCCTGCTGGGCCGCTTGTTCTGCGCAGCTTGCTGAGGAGTAAGTTTAGCAGCGGAAGTCGGCAGCAAACCGGAACTGGGAGTGGACGAAGGATTGCTCTGTGGTTTTCTGACTGCTGGATTGGTGCCCTCCGTTACAGATTTCAGAGTCATACCGTGATAAGTACCCATCGTGTCAATTTTAAATCCTTCCGTCTCCGACGATTGTCTAATAAATCTCTCCTGATCGTAACGATTGTAAACAGCTGGCTGAGGTAACGGGCGCATAGGTGTAGAACGCGGTGTAACCATCGGCGTGGGAGCGGCGGGACCTTTCTGTCTACCTTCCTCGCGGGCTTTAATACTCTGGAGTATCGCGAATATGTTCTTCGCAAATATCTTTCCACTGCTTTGCAGTATAGTTGCACGCGTTCTCCATTGTCTTTCCCTAGAGACTATATCCTTAGTGTCGTCGACATCCATCAATATAACACGTAAATCAGATCCCATTCCGATATCGTCGTTTTCTTTAATCGTGGTACGTTTCTTAGCTAAACGTTTAGCCTTGATAGCAGCAATCTTTTCAACTGACATTGCCTCTGAAAGAGATTTGATGTTGTCCACTGTGACGGAAGCTTCCTTGGGTGCATCCAGCCTAGCTGCAAGTTGTTCTTTGACCTTTTGAACATGTGTTTCCTCGAAACGTGGTTTCTTCGAGGATCCACTCTCCAGGCCATCCTCGGCAGTTCGTTTCACTTGCGTGGGAATTTCCAGTGGCGCGGATTTGTCTATGGCGGCTGACGTAGCAGTTTCGCCGTTGAGATAGGCCAATAAATCTTTTCTATCAGGTCGACGCACAACTGGGATATTCTCGGCAGCTGCCTGGCGTACATACACAGGATGCGTGAGTTGCACATGTTTGAGTAAAAATAAGAGGCACTCGAGAGTATAATATTCCTTTGGTGTTCCTTCCTTGCCAGATCTAAAAAGAAACACATTATGTAGTTTTGTCTTTTCTAACACTCAAAATATTACATCTATGATGAAGTATATATTTCCAATTGCTTTCAGACTTGTAGGAACGAGATAAAGCGGTTAATCAATGCATAGCTGGATGTAGGACTCCAATTTTTTGATTTCTTAAATTTATTAAAATACTCATATTTTCGTTCAATTTAAACATATGCCCAAACACCATAATAAACTTTCGCAGAAATAATTTTGAATGAAAACATGTACATCTATCCCAAAACTGCTACTCCAAAGATTGTTAGTATTTCTAAAATTGTTCTAAATGTAGAAAGACAATGTGCGTTGTTAAACATTTATTTGAAGAGGACCATCGCGTTGATTTGTTTTATTTTTACTTACTCGTATAATCAAAATATACAAGTAGTACTACTATTACGCTACTCTATTAAATAAAAGAAAACAAGTTGAAAACATTTGTTCGTTTCGGTACTTAAAAGTCAATGTCATTAAAAGATACAAATTAATTCACTGAAATGTTGATAATCTGTTCACAGTTTGTTTATTATTTCATGGAAATAGACATTGCGTGGAATATAATGGTGGAACAGTTCCAGGTTACAGCTGTCGAAATTTAACCGTAGTCGAGCCAATGCAAACTTACCCGTATGTCAAGTAGTTGGTCTTTACGTTCTTTGGCCAAGAGAATTCCCCGAAAATAATTTGATTTTCTCGTTCGATTATCTCCTTTTTGTTAACATTGTATTGCCGCAGCAAACTCAACGGATCCGCCATGATTCCACACTGTCACTCCACCTTTACGTGGAACTTTAAATCAAAACATAAATCGTCATACACACGATTGATAAGACGCACATGTCAATTTTCGAAGTATGAGTGGGTGTATCCGGAAAAGCTATCACTCACTAAGCTGCTCCATGAACGGCTAAGCTTGAAAATTGTTGCAATATGGGAGATACCCATGCACTATAATAAAGACAATAATAATAATAATAATAGTGCTAGTGGTGCCATCGGTGGGAAAACGCCCAAGTTTGTAGTGGAAATAGTTCCCACTATTGCTGCTAGATGGCACCACTTTAATTAATAGTGGCGCCATCGGTGGTAAAACGCCCAAGTTTGTAGTGAAAATAGTTCCAACCTTTACAGTAAGATAGCGCCACTGATATCATTTAATTAATTATTTTCTATTTTTTTTCTAAATACACAATTAATACGATTCGTTGCTTTATAACACTACATCATATCAGTTAATATATCAAATTTATTATTTTTATGAGGTTAATAAGATGAATTCCTTGTTTTTCTTTTTTGTATTTATTATTATACATATTTAAATACTAAAAAAAAAGAGAAAATTAAAACTACATACATAAAATTACATTCAATTAACTGTTCTTTCTTCCCGACTGTCGATGGTTAGAGACAATTGTTTGCTACAAATTTCTGTTTGAATAAAAAATTATATGTATATATACAATGTTCCCGTGTCAATACAATCTTACTTGTCGCTAATTTATCATTATCTGTTTTTAAATACATTGATTGATGATATTTTGTACATAAAATTGAATAATGAAAATGGGATCACTATGAATTTCTTTTAATAGTAACACGCTAATTCCAATTAATGAACGTGAAATGTGTAACACTTAATGTGAATTAATTTTCTCAGTCTGACTCTGAGCCTGAACTGGCATCTGACTCATACTCTTCAACGTTTATGCTAAATTTGTATTCTTGATCGCATCCTAGGTAAGCATCACTCATAAAATACAAAGTATAGGAATGTTGTCCAGGAGCCGGTGCTACAAAATCAAGCTTGACCTTTGCTTTCTGTTGTAGTGTCAATCTTTTAATAGACAGTAAAGAATTAGTCTTTGGATCACCGATAACAACCCACCAGCCTTCTTCGCGTTTCTGTGGGAAATATGGTGCCACGACTGGCCCTGTAACTTCGTCTTCTCTTTCAAGCTGAACGATAACATTGACTGTACCACCACTGCGCAACTTATCTTTGTCTTGAACTTCATAGGACATTTCTATGTTAGGATAACGATTACAGAATTTAGCAACATCCGCCATTTGTGACTCGGACAACTGTAAGAGACGATTTCTATCATCATCCTCTAGTTCCATTACATCAAATACAGTTTCCACTCCTTTGTCTGTACAACGTTTGATAGTTTCAGAAGTAAAGTGTGGCAACTGTTTTAAATAAGAATCTTTAGACCACATTGCTTGAGTGACCATTTGCGCCAATTCCATAGCAGCAACTGCAGGTGCTAACCAACCAGATGAACTGAGGACATCTACGCAAGCTTGAATTAACCTTACAGCTTTATTTAACACTAATTCGGTATCCTTTTGAAGTTCTGGACCAAGTTGTATTCTGGATAAGTGTGATTGCAGCAAAAGCTGTGCTTTCACATGAGGATCGGCCATTCTTGTAGCTTGCGGAGCATGCGGCAAGCGTGCAGCTAAACTTCTCAATAGATTTTCTTCCCGCTGTCTAACTGGAACAGTTTCGTATTCAGCCGCTGCCGAAATGATCTCTAATAAACCTCTGATTTTGGTCTTATTATTCAAAGAAAGACTGAATAATTCGATCGTTGCGTAATTGATATAATAATAAGCAGCGATCATTCCAAGATTCAAGGGCAAAGTATCCATTTCATCTTCGACGGCAACACACTTCGCTTGTTCTAAATCACTCAAAGTATTTTCAACCAATTCGGATAAATGATCTGATAGATGCCTATGGGTAACACCCTGCAATCCATAATAATTTGGATTTTGTGTGAGCCGCCTATACAAGAAAGTCCATGTTAGATAATCGACAGCATCTTGTTTATTTTCAATCGTTTTGGTCACTATTTCAGCATTGAAATGATCGTGTAATCTGTGATCCAGATGACTTTCCACGGGCAAAGGTTCGTTCAGAAACTTCTTGAAAAAGTCTTTTTTGGAACTCTGACAAAGAAGAATACATTTAGCATCGTCATCCTCCAATGGGCGATTTGCACGTGCTACCATTTGTAAAACATCTGTAATAGGATAATCCTCATAGGCGTGTGTCTTTCCATTGTAACACTGGGTGTCCATGACGACTACAAGATGGGAACTGATTGATAAATCCCAACAAAGATCTCTTGTGACAACTGCTATTTGGATAGCACCGCTATCGAAGAGCTGTTCAACGAGACGTCGATCATCTACAGATAATCCTTCGTGTAGGTAAGCAGCTCCTTGCGAAAGCGTTTCTTTCAAAGTTTTATCAGTCATTCTATCTAGGAACGGTTTGATATCAACTTCTTCCGCATGGAAAAATCGTGAAGGTTGTCCCTCAGCTGCGGTGAATGTCAATAAATCAATAGCCGTTAATCTAGCTTGACGACGAGTAGGTACGAAAACAATAACTGGCTTATGAGAAGCGTACCGAAGTATCGCATTATACACTGGTTTTGCCATAGCAGCCAGTCTGGATGCGTTATGAGTAATATTTATTCCTTGGACGTGTAATTCTAAAGGTACAGGTCTAACGGATGGGTGAAAATTGAAAGTTGCAGCAGCAGGTGCACCTAACCATTGAGCTGCGTCTTTAGCATCCGCGAGTGAAGCTGATAATGCTATAATCCTGGTGGGTTTATCCAATTGCGAAGAAATATAACGTGCTCTTGAACATGCTACTTCTAGTACGGGTCCTTCCTCGCCGCCAATTAATTGGAGCTCGTCAACGATGAAGAGTTGAATATTTTGCACATTTTTTCTTTGTTTCCATCTTCGCGATAATACATCCCATTTATCCGCAGTCGTAATAATGATTTGTCCTTTCGCAAGTAATTTAAGGTCTGTTCCTGTTTCACCGGTTAGCAGAACCACCTTCCTGCCCAACTGTTGATTAAATTTGATCGACCAGTCAGTATAGACCAATTCTGCTAAAGCTTCCTTGCTAACCATGTACACGCATCTACCTTCTGGATTCTGACTGAGTAAACGTAACACAGCGAACTCAGCGATGGTAGTTTTTCCCGAGCCTGTGGGTGCTCCAACAAAAACATTATCGTCTGAATTGTAAACAGCGTTAAATACCTGTGTTTGAATTGGATTGAACTGTGGAAACTTATCCGTATAGATAGTTTCAAATTTCGAGTTACGCAAAGCGGTAACTGGAAGTGGTTGCAAATCGAGTAATTCGGTTGGCGGTAAGTTCTTTTCAGGTAAAATTAAATGACGAAAACTAACAGGTAATTGGGTTTCTGCTCCGATCCATCTATCCGATACAACGCGTAAAAAATATTGTGGCGGTAAGGGTTCGAACACAGGCACAAAAAATTTGATCAAATGTTCGTCCGCTGCATATTTAGCTTTCAATAAGAAATATTCGTGATGAAGTATCACTTCGGAATCCACGTCTTCAACTAAAATCCAGAATGCTTCCGAAGCACCGTGTATCTTTTCATCCCATTGGAAGTCAGGCGTAATAGTTAATTCTACTCTTAAAGTAGACCGTGTGATTGGTTGAATATGGGTCGATAATTCCAATTTTGGAAACTGATGTATATATTTATGAATAGTTTTACCAAGTTTTGGTACTCGAATCAATTCTCCAATTTCATTTGGTCCAAGATCGTATAATCTCTCCCACGGGAAGTTCTTCTTTTCTATCTTCTTTACAATTTCTTCAGGCATTTTTCTAAATTGCCTTAGAGGCGACATCGATTGCCACATTCTGCGATCTATCATTTTACACAACGACAAACATTTGTCGGCTAGTTGTGCCCAACCGCGAAACAAAACAATTTCAAAAATTGCTCTCATTAATCGCGATGCAGACTGAGTGACGAATACCATATCAGACATGAGAGCAAATCCTTCGAGTTTCAGTTGAGAAATGTATGCCTGTAGGAGTACATTGACTTTCGCACTCGCTTCTTCTATACTTTCCTTTACTGGAATAGGTACTCTCTCCATCAACTTCTGCAATTCTAATTTCTCTTCTTCTCTGACATTAATGTGTTTAAATTCACTAGACAGTGAAAATACTCGGAATAATTCAATTTCGCTTAGAGTACGTTTCAGCAGTTGATTATATATGGACATAGTTTCATGAGTACAGTAATAATGCGATGCTATACGACCTAATTCGGTAGCTTGGAAATTGCCGCTCTTTCGGTCATATTTAATTAAACCGCTCCGATCTAATCCTACCGCAGCAGAATGAATAAGATCCGCTCTATGCAATTCGAGTAACGGATCATCTTTCAACTTGTCGTGACTTATGCCATATAAATTTGGACAGCGAAGCATTCTAATGTACAAGTATGTGTAACCCAACCAAGTGACGGCGTCTCTAATATTTTGTATAGTGCCCAACACAATTTCTGCATTTAACATATCTGACATTTTACTAAGTAACTGCGACTCGATGGGTAGTTGCTGATTTAGAAGAGACAAATAATATTGCAATTCACTGTGATTTGTGATAAGAATGCCTTCACCTTTTGTATCGTACTGTGGACGACCAGCTCTACCTAACATTTGCAGTACGTCTAGAGCTCCTAATTCAATCCATCTGCCTTTCTCTGGATTGTACACCTGAGTTCCTTTGATAATAACTGTATGTGCAGGTAAATTAACACCCCAAGCTAAGGTTGCAGTGGATACTAAAACTTGTATATGTCTATCCGCAAAAAGATCCTCGACCAACGTTCGATCCACTCTCGTCATACCGGCATGATGAATAGCAAACCCATAAGGCAACAAATCTTTAAGTTCTTGATTTTTAACTTGTTCAGCTTCTGTCCTTAAAACTTCCATAGATGCGGATCCCTCTCTCAAGAATTGCCCTAACGTGTCTTTCTCTAAACACATGTCCCTGATAGCACGAGCTGTTTTTCCTGTCTCTTTTCGCGAGTGTACAAAAATAAGAACTTGATTTCTACCTGCGTGTTCCATCGTCTTCTCATACACAATTTCGTTCATTACTTGAAAACGTTTCAACGCTTTTTTCTCTGTAATACCTATATACTGTTGTTCTAATGCAACAGGTCTAAAACTGTTATCAAAGTAAAATAAACCTGTTTCTGGTTTTATCCGTAAAAATGCTGCGACATCTTGATAATTTGGTAACGTTGCCGAAAGACCAATCAATCTTACATCCTCTTGCGTTGTTTCGATATTTCTGATTGTTCTAGCAACCAAAGCTTCTAGAACAGGTCCTCTTTCGTCGTGTAGCAAATGAATTTCATCGATGATGATCAATCTGACCAATGAAGTAAAAGTTTTCTCGCCTCCTTTCCGTGTTATGATATCCCACTTCTCGGGAGTGCACACTATGACTTGTGTTGCAGCTATCTGTTCCCTCGTCAATTGATGATCACCCGTCAATTCTGATACAGTTAAGTTATACGTAGACAATCTTTTGCCAAAGTTTCCAACCATTTCTTGTACCAACGAACGCATCGGTGCAACGTAGATTATTTTGAATTCATCGGTGTTAATTGTACCATCGGAATTGATATGTTTTCCAATTTCACGCATCATACACAAAAGTGCAACGTTAGTTTTACCGGCACCCGTCGGCGCACACAGTAATAGATTCTCGTCACTTTCTAAAGCGGTTTGGTATAAACGGCTCTGAATTCGATTTAAGGTTTTGAAACCTTCGAAAGCAGGTTGCACATACTTCGGTAACTGATCGATGGGGTGAAGTTTCTCATTTTCTGAAAACGGTTTCGGTTTCAATGCAGGCACGTGAACTTCTTCGTAACCTTTTCGCTGCTTTCTAAAACTTCCATCGGGCAACTGACAACGTTTATTTGCCATGAAATGACTGCCTTGCGCAAACATAAGATCGTCTAAATCTATTAGATTCCTTGTACCCTGAACTTGCCCACCAGGACCTCCAGTGTCTTCGTTCTCCTCTCTTCTTTTACGTTGCGCTCTTGCTTCCATTGTTTCGTCAGCATCATCATCGCCTTTGCCTGTATCCAATTGACGCAAAATTTTTGCTAATACAGGATCATCGTTCATCCTATTTCGAATTTTTTGTCGTTCTGATTCAGACTGCGAAGACGCCAACATAGTGCAATAAGCAACTGTAACCAATAGAGATAATTAATTGCGTTATATATTTAACTTTTATTTATGATTATTTCTTACTTGTATGTCTGTATTTCTTGAGCTGTTTGATGAAATCGAAGCAATCGTATCCTAACAAAAGTACCAATTGATTTTCGCAGTCACGATCATCTCCAGCATCTTTCAAAACTGCTAATACTTCTGCAGCTCGTGCTTGTGAAACCATTGCATCATCGTAAATCCTGCTTAATCTTCTTTGCAACCAGTATGCATCTATATCTAAAGGATGCAATGGCTTCTCTTTTTTCATTTCTTCTGCGCCACCTAACTAAAAACAATACAGTAATTTGAAAAAACATTTTTTTACTTTTATAATAAGTACTTCCCTAAGTTTTCTTCTGGCATAATTAAACATAGTATATACTTACATTTTCAGCATGAATAGCTCTGTCATCGTTAGCTTCTTCACCTTCGTCGCCTTCGTCGTCATTTTCTCTAATCTCTCCATAAACATCCTCATCATCTTCTTCGCTGCTTTCCTCAAATTGTACATTAATTCCATAAGTTTCATCTATATTTTCTTCATTTGTAGGATTCTTTTCATCGTTCCCAAAGTCAGTTATTTTTTTCCCAAGATTAACCAACAATGCAAACCTTTCTTCTGCTAGCAAACCTAACAGTAATTCTGTTTCCTTTTTTTTCTCTTTTTCTTTAAGTCTATCATTCTTCAAGACTGCTAGTACTTCATCAGCAGCACCGCAAAGAATATCTCTAGGCTGGTCTCCTAAAGCTTCTTGAATAAAACTCAATAATACTTCGTAAGTTTGCCGTGTTTCTTGCGTTTTGGGACGATAAACAATTCCAACCATTTCATCCACACCCTCGGAAAGTAACGTTGCACCTTTCATTCGTGTAAAGTCGTATTGTGCTTCGTCTCGCTTTTGACGCTTGACTTTTCGTTCCTCTGCTTTTCCAGGTTTAGTACGCTGAGCTCTATCACCCATACGTGTTCCATCAAGCTTCCCAACAAGGGACATAACCTCACCGGTAGCTTCATCTCTGCTACGTCTTTCTATCAATCGCACATCAGCTTGTAAAACAAGATTAGAATTAGCTTTATATTCATATTGCAATTGTCTCGCTGCGGCATCAGCCATGGTTGTTTTCGATTCACCAACTTGAGATTTGTAAGGTTAGCACAACAAACGTGAACAAACGTTTCCTCATACAGAGCGTAGTCTGCGTAGTTCTCGCGTGAGTTTTTATTACAAACACTGGAGGATACTAATTAAACAAAACACGACTTGTGTGTCATATTTAATTATAAAGTGTTATATGAAATATTCTGTTTGTTACATGCTCTTTCACAGACCTAACAAAAAATTGATATGGGAATTCTCTACAATTGGCATGAACTAGAACTGACTAGAACCACCAGAACCAGGGGTTCCACCAGTCCAAGCTCATGTAGCGCCGCGTGGAAAAAACTCACCCAACTAAAATGTGGAGCGTATGCGCGTGTATGCTTGCGTATGTAAATTGCTTTAAATTATTTAAAAGAAAGTAAACCAAAGAAAGTGCAGACGCAGTTTGAAGGATTTCCGTCATTTTTAAAATTATATTTCTTCATATTATATTTATTAAATTCCCTAAGTTATATAGCTTAAGAAATAGAAACGAATAAGGTATTTATATAACAAATTGTTCATTATGTCTTATATACTATAGACTTTTATAATAATAATAGCATGAAAATCCATTGTTCCTAATTCAAAGAGCACTCTACATTACCGACAGAGTAAACTGCATTATCGGCCGAACACTCAAAATTACTGGCAGAACAATCTGCATTACCGACAGAGTAATCTGCATTACCGACTGAGCACTCTGCATTACCGACAGAGCAATCTGCATTACCGACTGAACACTCTGCATTACCGACTGAGCACTCT